CTTGTTTGGCACTCACTTCCTCCCATTTGAAGACATTAGTATTACTAGGCCTAGAACCATTTCCAGCGTGCTGTTGAAAGTTTTTGATAAAGTCTGTATGCTTGGGGCTGGTAGGAGGGTAGGCGTTGGACTGTGATGCAACATTAACAAAAAAGTTGTTGAGTGTGTTGGGGGATAACGGAATGTCAGTGTTGACCTTTGAATGTCCTGATTCCTTCTTCACTATTTGCCAAGCAGCCTTGCATGTATTAGATGAATTTAAGATCATTGAATCATTAGCCGCTATCTTTGCATCTCTTATTGCATTATTATACATTTTTTTAAAGGCATTAAATCTAGTTTTATCATCATTGCTTAAGCTAACTTTCCACTTATCATATAGACATAACAAAGTTTTTTTCATTGATCTAAGTTCTGCATTATACCAATTCTTATTTTTTGTTGTAGGCCTAGAGTTACCCTTATGTTTTACATTAATTATAGGACAATATAAATTCAAGAAATAATTTAATACATTCAATATAAAAGAACAGGCTATATTTACATCAAGAGTTTCATAAAGAGGTGACCAATCATAGATATCTAAGTTAAATCTCAAGTTTTCAACCCTATGGTCCGCAGTCAGGCGTTTCTTCATTATTGCAGGTTTGGGGTTTAGTAGAGATCTATTTTTGTCAATGATTGAATTGTTATTGATAGATAAAAACTTTACCCAAACAGCAGCATGATCTGAGATAATGTCTTGAGCAGTGAAAGAACAGGACAAAAAATCATTGTGAATATTAGTAAAAACATTGTCAAGACAAGATGAGTTTCTGGTTGGTTGGTTGTGGGCTGGATATAGGTCAAAAGATCTCATAATATTTAAAAAATGATTAGTTTCTTGACTTAAACTTAATATATTAACATTGAAATCTCCTACTATAGCTATGTTGGCATACTTTGACTTACCGGTACTTATCTTTAATAATAAACATTCTAGGCTATTTACAAAATCATTAAAATTAGAATCAGGTGTACGGTAAACATTAACAATTATAAAATTAAAATCACAAAGATTAACTGCAGAGGCCTCAAAGATACTATTACAGCATAAATCAGTGATATCGACAGACTCAAAATTTATATTTACTTTAATAAACACTGCGGAACCGCCGTGAGTCAGCGGAGGAAGCCTGCAGTATTTGCCGCCAAGTACGAAGTTCTCGGGAGTGTAGAATGGGAGCTCATCATCAAATAGCCAGTGTTCGCAGATGCAGACAACGTCAGCAGGTTTATCAACAAGCATTGTTTCTATGAGTCCGAGTTTATTCCGAATTGATTGAGCATTGATGGACACAATTGTCAACAAACTGTCTGTTTGTAATTCCGAGTTATCTGCTTCGATAACTGGAGTGTCAAAGAGTTCAACTTGGCCTACACTGTGTCTTGAGCTCTTCCTAAAAAACTTTCATTATTCTTACGAAAACCTACATTGCCTGAGCGATGAGCCCTAGGAGGACGATACTTGCCAACCACAGAGCCTTCAGGCCACAGTTCAGGGTTGAGAAATTCATCACACATTTCAAATGGCACACCTATTTTAAAGGATTTGTAGTGTGCAAACCTGGAGGGTAACTGATTACACTGATAGTCACAGTCTTTAAAGTCTTTCAAGAAGTCAAAAATATTTTGCTCAGTTACAGAAGGGTCAATACCAGATACAAACAGCCAAAAACATCTTTTAGCCGTCTTTAGGGTGTTTCCAGGACTTACCTTGTTTGTCCCACGCCCACGAATAACTCTACTGATATTTGTCATCCTAGTAGGATTACTCTTAAGGACATCACTATAGGACGGGTTTGTAGTACTCACCCCCGAAGGCCTATGACTGCCTACAGAAGCTGAGTTCGGTGTTTTAGTTTTACTGGTAATCTGCTTATCACTGTTTACCACTTTCGTCACATTTATCGGGGTTTTCTTTGCTAGCCTAGAACTTTTCCTGACTTGAGTCCATTTTGAGTTATTAAAAGTTTTAGTTTTTATAACTTCACCATTCAGATCAGAGTTTACAACAGAGGTTATGTTGACAGATGCAGATGACAAGTTAGAAATAGTGGAGTCACTGCCGATGAGATCTGCTTCGCCACAACATAGAGTACGACAGTCGAGTTTAGTAGGACCGGCAACGACTTTTAAATGTGAAGTCGTTCCATCAGTTAGTGAGTCTTTCGATGAAATGGACTCATTATCGACTTTAGATTCAGTAGACTTTGGATGAGGATCCGTCCACGATGTTTGCAGACGACAATTTTCATCTACTACTAGATTCTCATTTTCAAGCTCAAAATGTTCGGAGTTAACCTCAACTTTATGGGAATTCAATATTTGTTTTAAGCTACTGTTTGCCTTTATACTTTGATTAATTAAAATATTTAGCTTCTTTTCCAAGGTTTTTCCTAAGGTAGAGATTGCACTATCATTTAAGTTAGCTTCAATTATATCGTTTGAGCGGTTTTTAGTTTCGTTAATATGGCTCATTACCTTTGAATCGCACTGAGCACAAAACCAACGAATTATGTCTTGAACTTTTCGTACTTCATTTAATTTCTTCATGGGTATGTCCAAACATTTTAAATGGAACCACGATCCACAAAAACCCTCACATAACAGTGGTTTTTCACTTTCTAAACAGACAATTTTACATACCGCACAAACCAGAGCTTCATCTCCATCCGCCATTTTTCCGCCAAAAAAAAAGGCCCTTGAGACTCGAGGGTTGTAAGTTCCTTTTCTACTCTCTCTCGTAATGCGAAAGGGACATCACGTTCTCTAGTAAATACTGGTTTTTCATTATCTCTGAGTTGGAGTTTGACTTCAACATTGGGAACACATCCGATTCTTTCTTCGAAAATTGCTGAGTATTTTTCGAATATATCTTCTAGAGACGGTACTAAATTAACATTAACTGTATTAATCGGTGATTGCTTTCTGTTGTCTACCTCACTGAGTTCAATTCCAAGTCCACGAATCCAAATTCGTCCTAACAAAGCAGAATGACCAGCAGGTACTATAAATAAATCAGCATTTAGTGATTTTGCATTGTAAGAGACTGAGACAGTTACTTTACCTTTAGGTTTTATTATATGATCAGAGTAGGAGCGAAATGAGATAGGAGTTGGTTGAAGTGGCACTTTAAGTCCAAGTTTATCAAAGTCCGTTTCTGAGATTAAGGAAAATCGTGCACCAGAGTCTACTTCAAATGTTTGAGGCTTGTTGTTGATAGTGACTGTAACCATGTATTTGTCTGAGTCTGGCCCTACTATGTAAAGATCTTCCACATCGTTGATTTGTGTGATTCCATACTCATCTGGGTGACTGGATTCATCTTCTGTGTAGTGAGACAACAGGGTGTTTGTTTTAGAGTTCTTTAGTAGAGACGTTATACACACTTTTGATACGTGGCCTTGTTTTCCACAGGAAGTGCATTTAAGATTGTTCCGATTAATTTTGCATTCATGAGACTGATGGTTTGATCGACCACATTTGAAACAAAGTCCATCAATACCCAAAGCTTTGTAGTCAACGTGTCTTTTTAATCTTTTGTTACGGAAATGTTGTGATTGAGATCTATTGGAAACGCGGTCATCATATTTGGGAGTCTTAAATTGCTTGAAACTTTGATATTCCTTTGTCTTAGACCTTGAATGCCTGTCAATTTTGTGTGTATGTGCATTTTCACTTGATGATTGTGTGACAGGGTTACAAATTTTATTTGATTCATAGCGGGAAGCTTCTAGGGCAATTGCTTTCTTGAGGAGTGAGTCAAAACTGTTGAGATTAGTGTCTTGTAGAAGTTGTTCTCGTATCCAATTGTCTTTTAGTCCTCTAATAAATTGAGGGCGGAGAAATTCATCAGCAATTGAAATTTTACTTTCACATTCATTGCAAGAAGTGTAAAAATTACAATCATTCAGGTTACTTTTCAGGACTGTGACAAAATCAGAGATTGATTGATGCAACTGTTGTGAAACACTGAGGAAATAGTGTTGTGCAACAATATGAGATACTGTAGGTGACAACATCACTGTGAAATGTTCGATTAATTTTGAAAAATTAAGGTCTTTTACAGAATTGTCTGGGCCTAAAAGAGTTGTCAGATTATTGTAATGTTCCTTACCAATGGATGAGCACAGGAGTTGAGCTTTCATCTTGCCTTCTTTAATGTTCTTCAAATTGCAATAATTTTCAAAACGTTCCAAATATGATTTGAATTTATCATTATTAAATCAAAATGTTCAAAAGGATTGATCTGAGGAGTTGAAGTTTTATTACCTAGAGCTGCAGCCAAAACATTCATGAGTCTTTCAAATTGTTCTTCATTCATTTTAAGTTGAAATGTTTAACAAAATAAAATATCTTGAAAATAATAGAATAAAACAAGAATTGATAATAGTTTTTTACCAAATCGTCGCCAACTGAGATGACTTTCGAGTGGAAATATTAGAATATAAAAAGACAGAGTGTTGAAATAGAAGTAACTGTGTTATATTAAAGATCAGAATAGAATAGTAAACAGCATTTGATGATTAACATTTTGGTTGCTATGGTAACAACTACATATGTTCATAACAAGTTGGAACACAACATCCATAACCATAAAAAAAAAACTAAAACAGAACAGAAGTTGTTTTGGGTTTTTTTGGGGGGCTTGTTCATAACATGTTCTGGGAAGCATTTAAAGTTTAAAGCAAGCAATTGTTTACTAAATGACTTATTCATTGTCTGAACCTATGTGGTGTTCCTTATAGTGTTGAATGTGGCTACAAGACTAATTCCCAATTGAACTTTCAACAGTTGCACCAACCCCTGTGCAAAACCAGGTGAACAGAGCCCACTCCTAGGTGGAAAGCTGCATGTCACCTACTGCTATTGTTTGATTAGAGATAAACAGGAGACATATACAAAAACAATTATAGTATCATCTATATAAAATATATTCCAATGAGTTGTTTTTGCAGGTTGCCTCCCTGTCACTTCTGGGAGCGTTGTTTGGAGCTATCTTTGGAGGAATAGCAATGCGCTTTGGTCGCAAGAGAGTTCTTGTCTTCACGTCGATACCATTCTCCCTGTCCTGGTTTGTCACTGTGTTTGCAAACAGTGTAGAGGTCATGTTTGCTACTGGGTTTGTTGGAGGATTCTGCTGTGCTATTGTCCTCCTTGTCTCGCAGGTAATGTATCTTCGTGACTAATTTCACAGTGTAGCTTTACAAATGACCAGCAGTCACCAAAAATGAGTTAATCACTTTATCAAAACAGCGGCACACTTTTTGTAAGTATTTCAAGCTGAGTATATGAATGCAGAGGATGAAAGTGGAAAAGTTAGAAGATGTTTTTGAAGACCCGTGTTGTTTAAGATCAACTGTTTCTTGAGCCAGGATGAGAAATTAGTAAAAAGGCTATGATCAAGTAAAGCTGGCTCCAGTTTATTTAGCCCATCAAAATAGGATAGCAGCAATATTTCTAAAAGGCTTGAACTAAAAAAAAAATAGATCTCTAGAAAAATCTTCTCTAGACAGGGAAGTCCCAGAATGTCTCATCCGAAATCAAGCTATGCTATTGTAAAAAGTGATTATATTCTCAGTATGATTAGTTTTCTTATAGTAAACGCACTCTTCTTAGGAACACAAGTAAGAAGTAATGGTTCCACAAGTAATTTATCCAAGAAGTAGTTTTCAAGTTCCTTGTAGTTGATAGCTCCAACTACAATGTCTTGCTTGATAGCTCACAAAAAGTTCATCACAGGAACAATTCTACTACTTCCTTAGTCCTTATGAAGTTGTCTTGAAGGTAAGAAATCATATTAATTGTGTTGTGAACTGTTTATGTGCTATCAAGTACCTGGAACTTTTCATGGGTAAGTAAGTTAGTTATTCTTATTCCTTCCTTCATATCATTAATTCTCCGTATGTAATGTGGAGCGTAAACTTACAACTGGATGTTGTTTTACAACTCTTTAGTGATGTGTTGCAGGTCTACATCAGTGAGATAGCAGGTCCGGATATCCGAGGGTGTCTCAGCGCAGTGCTCAAGATATTCGGTCATATAGGTGTCCTCATCAGCTTTGCCATCGGAGCCTACCTTGACTGGAGACAACTAGCGTTTGTTATAGCAGGGGCTCCTCTCATGTTGCTGGTAAAACATTTAATTTTACCATAATTAATTTTAATAGCCCCCGACACTGCAATATTGATTTGGATTCCACTGTTTTTGGCCACTTTCAACAGTACAGGAATGCTGAATCCCCCTTGAGTAATAGATTTGTTGATGATTTACACTTACAGTAGTGCCCTAATATAACAAGTTTAACACTGCTGACATGATGGGCCTGATGGGAAAACATTGCCATCTACAAGCAAGAACACAATCAGTTGAGCTACTCAAGCAGTTTTTATATTATATTAGATTTATATCTTTGTTATTGTTACCTGAGTTCTTGTAAGTAAGATGTTTGTGTCACTCTATGCGATGTCTTCTTGTTTATTAATCTTTTTATCACTAACACTATTACTATAGTCTATCTATATTTACAAATATAATTACGCACGCGATCACTAGTATCATGGTTGAATCGATCAGAGAACACGTCTGATAAGATGAAAAAAGATTGTTAATAAGATGATGAATTAACCAGTAGACCACTGAAGATGTCACACAAGGTGGCAAAATACTTTGAGTGACACAAACATCTCTACAAAAAGTCAGGCAACAACAACAAAGGTATAAATATATAATTGAAGTTCTTTACTGGGGAGGGCAAAAAAAAAGTTTGTAAGTTGTTCTTATGGACTGTTTAAAAATGGCAATTTACCAAAACACGTACCATCTATGTTACAATTGGAACTGCTGACAATTGGAAATCCTTAATTACGAGTCAGTAATTTTACTATATAACTATTGTTAAATATGACAAAGTATGAAAGTTGATCAAATGGCATTAAATTTTCAAATTTTGTAATGATGGGACTATAACAGAGTAGCAATGGTTTTGGGCTAGAAGGTGTGAAGTTAGGACATTAATAGCTATATTTACATTACAAGTGTAGTAAGAGCGTTTTTACATCACGCAGGTGAATGTTGTGCAACGAGCGGAAGCGAGTTGCATAATTTACCTAAGTGATGTAAACACGCTCTTGCGTAACGTGTAACGTACAAGATTTTACCTGACCCGACAATATACATGGGTTTACGTACAATATTTTTCACTATCCATTTCTATCAGTAACGTTCTTTTACTAACAAAATTGCAAAAGCTAGGTTAGGAAAATACTTTAAAGCATAACAATAACATTCAAACGCACAGCTGATTTCTAGTGTTGAACGTCGTTGGCTCCATAGAGTTATATTTTTTAAGTTAAGCACTCAATGTTATTTAAATGGGTTTCTTTACATCACCGAGTGAGTTTTTGATACTTTACATCACTCGAGAAGTAAGGAAGTTGTATACATCACGCTTGGGATAGGGAAGTTTAACATGGCGGGTTAGGTAAAAGTTTTAGTTTTATGGCACTTTTGTTGTTTTTGCAGATGAGCATCCTGTACATACCAGAGACTCCCAGTTATCTGGTCCTGTCTGGGAGAGAGCAGGAGGCAGCACAGGCTCTGCGTTGGCTGAGAGGTCCTCACGCAGACATACAGCCAGAGTTGGCAACTCTAAGGGACAACGTCTTGGCGAGTCGAGCGTTCCGGCCGACAGACAGACAAAGCATATCCGTAGTGCTGCATCCCATCCTAATCACCTGCGGTCTCATGCTGTTCCAGCGGTAAACACAGCCTACCCAAAATGTTACATAAGCTAAACTATCCTAACATAATACAAGAAACCCTAATTAACTGAGAGCCTAACCTAACATAACATAACCTAATATTAACTTCTCATAAGAGTTTATCCCTCTAATTTTCAATTTTTAGGTGTAAATTATTATCTTGACTGTGGTAATATGAAATTATTTTGTGAGGAAATTCAAGCCAAATACTAAGATTTTCAGGCTTCAAAAGAAAGTACCCTAATGAACTGAATAAACCCTGTGATGAGATTAATGTAAGTATTTTAGTCTTAACACTATGTCTAACAGCACCTATCAAAACTATTTAACATAAAGTATAAGCTAAAGAATTATAATTACAACATGAACTTTACAGGTTCTCCGGAGCAAACGCATTCAACTTCTATGCAGTGTCCATCTTCCGCCAGACGTTCGGAGGTATGGATCCTCATGGGGGCGCTGTAGCAGTCGCCTTCGTCCAGCTGCTTGCCTCTCTGTTATCTGGGCTACTCATAGACACCGTGGGGCGACTGCCTTTGCTCATCGCCAGTAGTGTGTTCATGTCCATTGCTCTGGCCGCCTTTGGCTCATTCGCTTACTACGAGCACATCCACCGGGACCGTGTTGCCGCGCAATACGACTGGATCCCATTACTCTGTGTGCTTGTCTTCACCATAGCTTTCTCTATGGGAATCTCCCCAATATCCTGGCTGCTCATCGGGGAACTGTTTCCTCTCGAGTATCGCGGGTTGGGCAGCGCACTCGCCACCTCTTTCAGTTACGCTTGCGCTTTCATCGGTGTCAAAACGTTCGTGGACTTTCAACAGATGTTGGGTCTTCACGGAGCGTTCTGGTTGTATGCGGCCATCTCTGTTTGCGGGCTGTGTTTTGTCGTCTGCTTTGTACCGGAGACCAAAGGTAAAGGACTGGACGAGATGGATCATAAGTATGTGAGAGCTTAGTTCGCACAACTAGTAGAACCCTGTGCCTTTTCGTTAGCCTTCTGAAGGCTTCTTCCATTTAACTTCCTCGGTGATAAACTGTATTAAAAAAATATGTTTACGAAAATGTTTATAAACGACCGGAGTAGATGCAAAATATTTTGTATTGTTTTGTATAATAGTATGTATATGTTATGAGGCGTTTTTTGTCTTAGGTCTTATATTAACTCGTAGATGATATGATAATTTATTATTTAAACTATTAGTATTATTATTTTTAATCTAATATGTCGACAAATTAAATCAATTTTCTTTGTGTCTTTCATAACAGGCCCCATACACACATGCATTACATTTTTATCATACAAATTTTATAACAATCGATAGGCCTACTTTAATAGTATATTTCATCACTTGGGCCTAAAGTGACTCTTTTCGCCCCGAGCTTAAGTTTTACGATTGAGACAAAGCCCAGGTCGGAAAATAAGTGAGGATTGAAAAGACACTTTTTGCCCGTTTGATGGAACTATATTTTTTGTCATATTGCCCCATTATTTGAACAAACTATGTTACAAAAATAAAATAGTTTTTATTTAAAGATAACCTCTCCAAACAACTTACAACTGCTTGTTTTCAATTAAATTTTCTAATGCAAACAAGCAGCTGTTTAGTTAGTTGTGTCACTAACATTATACTATCGATACGTTTAACTATTTTCAATAAGGAAAAAATAACTACAATCGATTAAACAATCAATCCATACTTTCAATACATGCAATTTTGTTTACAAAATTTACAACTGAGTTAAAACGGCTGTTTTTGTTGCAGTACGACAAAAAATAGTTTTACTTTACCCTGTCAATTAAGCATTGAAAGTATTGTAAAATTTGTGTCATAGGTTTCTAATCTAATCTATTTTTCTTTCTAACAGAGGACAAATTATATCTTTTTCAGCTTAAATCAAACAATGATTAGTGATAACTCGTGTAATAGTTTCTCCTAAAAGTAATGAAGTATACATTTATTCAACAGCAACAAATCTACAAATAACCAACCTTATAATTAATAGCATGAAACAACTTTGAGATTCTTTTAGCAACTTTCACCAATAGGATTAGAACTAATAATCAAGCATTTCTTATGCACATTTAACACATTTAGTCAACGAAATCTGTTAGCTTACATTTTTGTTTTCTTTGATTAAAGTACAGTTAATAGGATACATTTCTCCAAATATGCAAAGTGTTTGGACGGTGGACTTTTAACAAATAAGTAATTTAATATCAATGAACTAGATAACGGTGTATGATTTGGAAATTTGACATAGAAATAGTACCCAGACTTAGAAAATTTCTGAACTTATAAAGTTAGTTCTAAAGAAAACAAGCTAAACACAAGCGTTTTCAGTAATATAGACAAATAGAATAAATATAGACCGTCATGCTGTGCTGCGGTTAGCATAAGTTCTGGCGTCCACCGCTAGGTTTGCCGTGTAGTTACGGTGCACACCGGTGCAGCGTCTGCTGGTCGCATACTGCTCCTGCGCTCCTCGCCTGCAGTGGTGTGCGCCGTAACTACACGGCACTCCTAGCGGTGGGCGCCGGAACCTTCCTTTGACAGTCTATATTTATTCAATTTGTCTATGGTAATATGTATTAACAGCCGAACATTTATAGTGTAATTATGATCTTGTATGACAATAATGTAGGTAATATAGACAATAACATATACAATTTGTATTTGTAAGCATAATGACAATAAATTATCAAATGTATTGTGAAAAATTTGGTTAACCTATATAGGTAAACATGACCCTATTTTTATGTGACTTATTGATTCCGGTAACTAATTTCAATGTATAATTTCAATTCACAGTCAATATCAGTTATATAGTAGCCTACATATATTAATTTATGATGGTAAATCTAAACCAACATCTAGACAATAATATCGTTATACCTTGTGCACATAGTTGTTATGTAATGCAGCTTACTTTTTTTAAAGCTTCCAACCATGTAAAAATAGTGGTTTTTAACTGAGAGTCTTTGACATTTTTGAGGTTTGGTATTAATTGTTATTAGATAAATATTTTATCATGGGAATATCCACTTCTACCTCCTAACCATGCATCCATATCCCTCCACATATCCTCCCTGCCATATCAGTAAAGATAAAAAAAATATTTTATTTTGTGTTAAGAGTTAGAAATTTACATGATTGTCACTGTAGAAAATATTAAGGTTACAATTTCTGATTTTATCATGTAAACTTACAAACTAATATTCTATTACTATTTATACTATTTCAATATAAAATGGGTTATAATTAATCTAACATTTTTTTTCCTTGTAGTTTTGTTTTTAAATCAAGTAAAAATGTATCAAGGCTAATATTTTGTGAGAGCGAGAATAGCAAACGAATTCAACAATGAATTTTAAAACAGTGTACAGTATAGTTTGCAGCATTTTAACAGATATACTGTACTTCCATTATTTTACTGTCCAACTCATTGTCAGTTTTATACCAGTGTTATCAAAATGTATAATTGTTATTTAATCTTGATTAATATTTACCATGCTGTAAAAATTGTGACAATATAAAGTAATGACTGTTGATATTTTAACAATTAAAGATTATGCATTTTTTACTAGATATAATAAAGAACTAATATAAAGAACTCATAAGCTATTAAAAAAAAATCAGAATTTTGAACTATGTGTTAATGTTAGCAAACCAAGATTTTCTGAATAATCAATAATATGTACAATAGTCAACAAGTAGAAACACCAATAACACAAAATAATTCATTTACAAGGTACAGTATTAGGCTATATATATTCTATTGCAGTTTATATACATTCTATAACAATGTAAATTATTTATTCACTGTACTTAAACTAATGAGTTTTTAACAAGACTCAATTTTACAATCTTGTATGGTTATATTGACAGATTATTCTCTTTTAACAACATTACATAAGTGTTAACCTATTTGATGTACTATATATTGAATAGAATGATCAATTATTAAGATGCTTTACATTACGGTATAATTAATCATACATTCTGGGTTCATAATAATTATAAATTAATTACTATATTTCCCAGTATTATATTTAATTTAGTTTGTCTAATAATGAACTTTTAAAAAGTCTTCTTTATTTGAATTTTTTTTTAAAGTTGTTTACTTACGGTGAGTAATATTTAGCAAATGTATAAAGACCTGTAGAAATCATTGTAGAGAATACTTAAAACTAATGAGTTTTAAAATTAAATTTTGTATGTTTCAATTTCAAATTTTGCATTGTAAATTCATCTGCTGTTTTGTCCACATAAAAGTTAATGTAATAGGATAAAAAATTCGAGAGCTTGTCCAAGATCAAGTAAATATAATTATTTATTTATTTAACATAGTTTATCTTTGTTATAAGCAATTTGTTGTAATCTTGTACTTAATTTATTTTTTGTACAATATTACCCAGTGTAGTTGTGACTTAAAATATTCTTCTAGTTGTAAAAAAAAGAAGCTTTGTATTTATTTTATAAGGTAAATTTTTATATCTGCTATTGTATACATTTAGAGTAGCTATTTTTATAATCTCAATTCTCAAGCGATAGTAAGTGCTTTACATTTACAATAGCATAAATGGAGTATAGATGAATCTCATTTGAATTTGTCTTGGTAAGGGGAGACATTCAAACTTCGAAAAGTTTATTTAAAATCTGACGTAAAAGTTGATATTTGTATTTGTACAATTGAAAACTAGTGTCAATGTTTCCATACTAAAGAGGTCTCTTTAAGTTTAATTTTTCCTTTTCCCTAATAGTTTTGTAGGTAGTCTAGAAAAAAACAATTAAACAGGAAAAGAATGAAATACTCACTCCACATACTATGTAACTTATAGGGGGACAATGTAAAAATTAAGAACATTTTTATGTTCAAAATAGCTCAACACAAGAATTCTCAATATTTTCACTGTCATGGAACACTAGAGCATTACCGATGTATAAGTGCCGATATTTCACAGGTGGTTCTTTGAAAATAAATCTACAGAAAATAAACTAAGAACCTCTACAGGATTTCTTTAGAAACAATACTAAGTACACAGAAAATGTTAAGTTACCTACTCATATAACACATGCTTCCTGAGTATCACTCGGTTATAAAAAAGAACGTCCCCACTTTTAGGAAGAAGTTGATGTCGGGAAACTTCCAATAATTTTCAGTTATTCTATAAGCAAAATATATTCACTATATATCTAAACCGTCAATGATTCAACTATGCTCCAATGACCTTTATTGACAATAATTCTAATGTGGCAACATCAATTCTTGACAATAATGTAGCGAAATGTCAAAATAGAACGAAAACACCTGTAGACCAACTTGCCCTGGGTCATGTAAATAAATCATGCTTTAAAAGAAACTAATGCTTCCCTGTTATTTATTTTAACTGTATATATAGATTATGCTCAGTAATAAAACATGTTTTATTAATAAAGAAAAGAGTTTAATGTACCTTTTCCTTTTGGATAAGCTCTGTAGTCTGTTTAGTAAGAAAACTTCATAAGCATTGTATTTCGAATGGGTGTTTCAGCGATACTAGCGGACCAACGCTACTAAAGCCATCAGGACCCGCAAAACGATCTTTTACTTTTTACTTACCTTTGTACCATAAAGATGGATGACTTCTTCCTCATCCAAAATTAATGATTATCTCAAAGGAGTTAACTGCAATTCTAGGGAGTTAAAATAATTCAATGAAATAACACCACCTTTGTGAAGCCCTAGGAGTTATTCACGTTTGTTGTTGTTGTTGGATCTTTATCAATAAGATTAGTGAAGACAGGTCACCATTACATACATACCATTAGACGATTAGACAGGGTGAATTACACAAGGTGCACACTCTTGATTTCAGACTAACAGGGATGAAATGAAAATATATACCTGTCTTTGGGTTCAGGGTTCATTGTCAACCGCTTAATCTTAATGATTAAGGTCCAACAAAAAAACTTGAATAACTCCTAGTGCTTCACAAAGGTGGTGGTGTTATTTCATTGGACACTTTTAACTCCCTAGAATTGCAGTTAAATAAGGTTATCCTTCGTAATAATTGTTTTTGGATGCAGAAGAAGTCATCCATCTTTATGGACCAGCTGTCGTCAGTTTCTTAACCAAAGAAAAAAAAGTATTAGTTGAATGATGAGAGAAATCATGTAAGCCCATAAGCTATTAAATTTTCCTACCTAACAATGTACATGTTCTCTCACTGATTTGAGAAAGCAATTCGCTCATCAGTGAGACAATGTTAACATTGTCTCACTCTAATTACTTTGTCTCACTCCAGATTTGCAACGTGAAGGCACGAAAGTGGCCAATTTGCTCATCAGAGATACAATGTTAAGATTGTCTCACTCTTATTACTTTGTTTCACTCCAGATTTGCAATGTGAAGGCACGTTTCTTTACCAATTTATTTGTTTTATGGTAACTAGGAAAAATATAATGTGCAACTCGAGTGCAAAGTAGGACACTGCCCGGCAAGCTTTTAAAGTTCTGAGGCGAGAGTTTTAAAAGTAAATTGGTTGGTCTCCATGGTAACAAAGAACAAACCCACAATGTTTAACTGTAAACATTGATTTCACATTTCCATACAGCTGGTTCAAACATATTAAATACTGCACGGATACTACTCTTTTTCAGATCAATTATCACTAATAGATCAATTGGATCGGGTGGATTAAGGAGTGAAGAAACAGTTGAAACAAACTTAATAATGCACATTTAATGAAATTGTGGCAGCATTTTACAAATGATCCTAAGACAATCTAAGAGTAACTATGAACCATGTTCGGACATTTCTCCAGAGTAGCTTTGTGATATGACTGAATAGGAGCTCTCTGATCGCATTTGATGCATACAACTTAGAAAAATAAATTTTAACATTTCTCCCAAACAGATAAAATCTTCAAATGAGAATCGTTCTTTATAAATCATCTCTCATTATACAACCTGAACTACAATCACTTTAATGTGAGTTTAGCTGCTCTCACAGTACTTCAATTCAACAAGGATAACCAAACAAAAAACGCACTCTGTAGTTAGAAACTGCGATTTAATCGACATTACAAATCAGTTTTCCTTACCGAACAATACGAGTATCTATAAAATATAACACTACTTAAGCTATCTATACGACTCATTTGAGCTATCATATAAATACAGTAATTCAAACGATCCGATCGGTCTAGGAGTTAATGGCACTCGTTTTGGGTTGACCGTCCAACGGTCCTATTTACATTTGCGTCACCGGTAACTAATCGGAAATTTAAAATAAAGTTTCTCATTTTACTCAACGCTATTAAACTCTAACATGATTAACATGCCCCTCACAGCGGGCCGGTTAAAATCTGTTAAGCCAAACGACACGACATACAAAGATAACACAAGAGAAACAAAAGTCGACGGTAAGCGATTGTATCACAAGGGTCACTAGTACCTCAAGCACTTGTATCTAAAGGATCTATGGTGTAACTATTCTATGTTTACGACTGGCTATGGTCCCTCATTGGCCTCGTGCTGCTGTGCAGTCCAGGCACGTTCAAACACGTCCACACGGAGCACCACGGGTCACTCACTATCTATTGACACTCCACGGCGCAGGAAATATTGTGGCAGTAATGTTCGTTAACGCTTTATATTGACTGGCTTATCATTATGTTGTAGCAAAAGTATCTGACAAAATGATGAAAACAAATACTAATTAGGGTTTTTGTGTCAAAAATTTTTCAATCTAATATAATCAAAGTTAAACAAGCTAAATCTTTCAGACACAGAATTTCTCTGTTGCAATACTTTCAGGAATCTAACTCAAAAGTTGGTAAAGTTTAACGAACATTACCGTCAAAATATTCCTCCACACTCCACAGTAAATGTACCGACCTTTAACGAATATAATACAATATAAACATAAATAACAATCACTTATTTTGAAACCTATGACTTTGAATAACTGGACTTTGCCGCAATCTAGGCAGTACTTGGTATATAGCGAGTATGAGACACCATACTACGATAGTAGGCTAACACTACTTGGTATGCCATCTTGCAACAATGATAAGGCATACCAGGTAGGCAATTGGAACAGTTCAATTACAGCACTGGGATATGCCAAGGGGATGTATGCAAATATTTATCATAATAATTGTCTTCACCTGTTTTAATTAAGTTTTTTTTAATGGTACATTGTTAAGAAAACATTTTCTGGATATATACAGCAAAGTAATATAGATCAACCTTACACACTGGTAAGAAAATAAATAGTGAACCTAATTAAAAGTATATCAGCTAAATGAGCAGGTTTCAAAAAGGATGTAAATTGACTGAAATGAGGGAAAATTGTTTAAATCACAACTTTGTTTAGAGATGTTGTACGGATAAAATGTGAAAAGATAACGAAGGTGACTAATAACGTCTTTCTAACAGATAACCTAATTTCCAATACAGAGATAGAACTTGGCCTACAAAACCTATCTTTTTTCTACCTTGCAGGTAGCTTACTAGCTAGCTGCATTGCTTAGGGTGAGCTTTAAGCTTTAACCCACCTGTGTTTATCAGTCATGTCTTATTTGGCACAAGTAAATACATACAATAACATTGATTTATATCTTGCAAGTAGTCAAAACATCCAAAGAATTATGGAAAAAGAGCTGTTATTAGTTGTGAAACTCATAATGTTGTGAAAACTATTCACTAAAAACTTTTGAGGATTCTCAGAGTATTTTACCGTAAGATAAATAGATTGACATTAAAATAATTATCAAACAACAGCCCTTTCTTACTGCTCAACAAGAAATAAATGTATGAATAAAAAAAAAATTTGTAAAACTTACCACATAAAATATTACACCCTCTTAAGTTAATCAAACGTCACATCCTACTAAGCAATACAGAACAGACACACACTTCTCTTTTAACATATTCAGACAATGGTTAGTTGTAATGACGTTAAAATTTAAGAGAAAATATATGGTATTAGTATCTTTGAGGTACTTTATTTGGAACCAGACTATTTACCGTCAAAAAATCTGGCTGAATTACTGTACAATATTGTAAATTTAGACAAACATTTTTGTATGTAAAAAAGTGATGCAATCTTCACTGTTTACGTATCAACATAACACTGAGTAAACCTCCACACTTGTGTGTTTTTGCATACATCCCCTGGACCCTGCATCAGTCAAGGAAGAGTTCAGCTTTGCACAGTGAGAGAGACAGTCCCCACCGCCTGCTTGAGCACCGCCACTGCCTCCTGATGTGTCAGACCGACCAGCGACACACCGTCCACCGCCAGTATCTGGTCACCGTGTCGCAAGCCGCCGCTGGCCGCCACACCGTGGTCAAACACTGTCTTGACGTAGATAGGCAGGTCTCCGTGCGGCGAAGCGTGGCCTCCGACGATACTGAAGCCTAACCCCTCCGGTCCTCGCTCTAACACCACTGTGCGGACTGCTGACTCGGGCCCTCCCACGTCGCTGCTCTCACTATAACAACACGTCAGGTTACACAGCATACACACTAATAGTCAAAACCAGAGATTTCAAATCATGAAAACAAAACTTAAAAATTCAAATACCGAATCTCAAAACCTGAATACAAAGCTTCTTTACCAAATGATAAAAAAATACAGGTAATAATAAAATGCATGTTATTCAATAATAACTGAATGAAATTGAATTCCTGATCCTGAAAAAATAACACGAATACAAGACTATTAGTCTTGTATTCATGTTATGACTAATACATTCCAAACCTAGAAAAAATCATTTTCTTTTAACATCAAACACTAAAATAAATTATGTCTGTAACATGATAACATGAATGTGAGATGGACTCAAGACATTTAGTGATTTAATAAAAATATTGATATGAAACCATATTGTATATACATCATTGTAGTATTAGTAGGTAGTTGTTATTGTACCTGTTGCAATTCAGAATATAATTTACTTGTTTTATCAGTGTTAATGAATCTTGAAATTCCCTAGTCAATCTTTTCCAGAGTTTTGGTGGTTTTGAGATTTGAGATTCGGTTTTGACACATCATTAGTCCACACAAACACTAACACATTGTACGCGATTCCACACTAAATGTGCGGTACTCATCACAAGGACTGATGTTTCTAAAAAGGTTGGATGAGACTGTCATTTGATATGCAAGGGTTGTCCGTAGATGAAAGTCTCCATCGACCTGCCGTTGGGATCAAGAGAACTAGTTCAAATCTGAGACCAGCAGATTTTCAGATGTAAACACTTGCAAACAAAAAACACTCAATTTTAAAACAGCGAACCCATAATCATTTTTAGGGTTCACAGTAGTGCCCCCTATATAACAATCTGGTTTGATCGTTGTAAGTAAAATATATTTGTTGGGGGAGGGGGTTTATGAATATAAATCATATGGCCATTGGCCAACAGTAGTTTTCATTGGTGGAACCAGTATCAAGTGTTGGTTGTTCTTTACTTCATCCACTCTAACAGCTGGTTTCCACACCTATGTAATTAGTATTACACATATGATACTGAAATATAATCTAGTGGTTCTAGTAATTTAGCATGAGTTTTATAATTTTATATCATCTACTTTCATATGTTTTATACCATTTAACTACTTTACAGAAATTATTTGTTTGTGTCAAAATCGTAAATTATTGTTCATATAAATGTTCTCTGTTGTGTTTTGTTGTCATTTTGTTAAATTTACAAAATTTTATACCTTGTTATGTTTGAATATGTTGTATTGTAGGTAGCACAAAATTTTAAACTGTGTTCAACATCTCAGGAACTACTTTACATTTTAGAATAATTAAAGGACTCACAATAACGATTTTTAAAAATCATGACACAGCACCTGTACATGTGATTTTCAAAAGTTTGTATGTTATGTGCAAATAAATTATAATTATCATTATTGTCATAGTAGCTAAAAGTAAATTTCTATGCTCAGTATAAATCATATTTTGTAATTAGGTTTCTTTGGGGAACAACTTGTTGCCAGTTGAAGGATGTGTATGAAGAAGAGTGTTTGAATGTAAACAATTAATTGTAATAGAGGCTTAGATAGATCACAGGAGGTTGTACACATTGGTACAATGGTCCATCAATGGATGTTCAATGTTCATAAATTTCTACACAGACACAGATTCAAGTTAAAAAAACTTTGCTTGCTGATATATGTGATTGAGACTATCAGGTTTTACTATCAATGCCCTTAATAGTAATTGAGATCATGGCCGCCCACAGGGGCTAAAAAAAATAGAAATAAGTTTAATACCCATAATGTTCTGTAATCACTTGGGTTTTAAGAAATGTATAAAAGTACGTTCATAATGGCCATTTCTTACAATGTTTTAAATTGATGTTTAAATCAAATAAGTAGTTGACTCACAAATGTACCATTCTTTTATACCTACTTTAATAAAACTCTGATGAAAACAAAACATCAACATTCTTGGTTGTTATCTAGGCTTTATTCAAGTGTAAATTTATTTCTCTTTAAATTATACAAAAAATAACTTCAAATAGCTTATTCATTTTTAATATTGGAATAAAAACTATGAGTTACCCTCCTTGATGCACAATATACTATTTGTTTTGGTTGATTCTATGTGTTACCAAATAGCGTAAAAAGATGTTTTAAAACACTATATTTTCATAAATTTTCCCGGAGAAGTCCCTGACCCCCCAGATGTTCGTTAGACCTATATATTGTACCCCCCTGTTCCAAATCCTGTGGGCGCCCATGATGGAGATGTCAGCTATCAGTTTGACATCCCTGGTTTAGTATACCACAGTCCCCGTGCAAAACTCTGCCTCAAACCCAACAAAAAAACAACCTCGACCAGCCTACACTATCCAAAACATCATCTATATCAAGGAAATGTTCACAACCGCCTTCAAACTTCCTCTATCCCTTACCCACATTTTCTACACCCAAGTACTTTAGTTCGTTCCCTTTTATCAGTAGCCACTAAGACTACAGAAATCCAATCACAGAACAAAAATCATACTTGAAGATTTTTCTTCACGTCATTTTTAACTACTATGACAAGACTAATTGTTGCATAGGAGTGAGAATTGGGTAGAATATTAATGGACAAAGTAAAGAATGTTTTGCTGTTTTCAGATTAGAACTAGCTCTCTCAGTCACGATCGGATCTTGATGGAGATCATAATTCACAGAAATACTTTAATACTTTCTTATTAAATGGCGACCATAAAAAGTAGGTATTTTAAGCCAAGTATGAATGGAGATGGAGTGTAGGATGAGTGGCATGATCTTGTAGTCTTGTTAGTGACTAAGGCCGACATTCCTTAAACACAGCTGTTAATTAATAGCCCATACAGCTAATGGCAACTAAGGGACCTACAGTTTATAGTGGAATTCGAACCACATTTTTGCATTGGTATATAAGAATTGGTCTAATTATCAGGATAGTACTGCGGATAGTCGTAGTACTCACTTGTGCGGACGTTAATCCACACCAGGGAGTATCGCATCCACAGTGCATGCCTATAAATATCCACAATTCGTGACCTCATAGTAGCTGGATTACAGGACGACACCACCCCGGTACACAGTGTTCGCACTGCACGGTGAACGTGGAATAGACTTAAGAAAATAGAAGAGTGCGACAGTGAATAACGGATAGAGAACTGACAGTATTTGGAATATCAGGGTAAGATTTAAATTTGTTGATCAATAGTGAAGCATTAAAATGTGAATAAAGAAAATGCTTGAGTTTCAGCAGATTCTGTAACAGATTCGTCTAATGTAGGCACAGAGGTGTAGTGGCCCTATTTTTCTGCGGCCTTGGTGAGCATTTCCACACTGGTAAATTTATACAACTACACCACTGTATAAACATTACACAAACATAATACAGGGGTTATTGTTTAAAGCATTAAAATGAATAACCAATGACCATACAATATTTGAATAGTTAAAAATTACATACTTACCCCTCTCCATTAACTATTACAAATTGTTACCATTGTTTACCGATTAAAAATAATTTAAATTTAATATCAATAGGTTAAGGTTGGTTAGCCAGGAAACTGTTGTAGAATACTCTCTGCTTCCTTAGATTCTTAATTGTTAAAAGAGTACAGTAGACCCTCTTTAATCCGAACCCCTGTAATTCGAACGTCCACTAATCCGAACGCCTCATTGCTGTACTCTATACACAGAACAGTAGTTATTCATTGGATACTGTATTTATTGGTATACGCACCGTAATTGTTTCTATTGTAATGTACCGTACTGTTTATTCCCTATGTCTACTACTGTATTAAATAAACACTGTATTTTCCTTTTATAAAGAATTTTTCACTTTTCCCTAGCAATTGTTATGTAAAAACAACAATATGTTCTGTAATCCGAACTATTCAATAGTCCGAACTACCCCCGGTCCCAATTATTTCGGATTAAAGAGGTTCTACTGTAAATACTACTAGATTTCAGCCAAACAATGACTCTGAACCTGTAGAACTTTGTTAATATAGGGTTTTTTAAGCATACAAAATAATAAGTCTGTGGCAGTTTATTTATGATATAAAATAATAGAACTCTTTCACTCATTGTTGTGGCTTGCCCCTGAACTGGTAAGACAAATATAAAATAATAGTGGTTTGGTTACCTTTCCTTTCGTCCCAGTTCAATATAAAGTTGTAATATCTACAGCCATGGTTTCGACGCTAGTTACGTCATGGTCACGTAGTTACTTCTCGACTTGCTAATTACGTGACCAGGAGGCAACTAGCGTCAAAACCATGGTTGTAGATATTACAACTTTTTATTGAACTGGGACGAAAGTAAAGGTAACTAAACCACTATTATTTTATATAGAACTCTTTCTCTGACAAACCGGTTAAATACATCCAATTAGATCATACACATAACAACCATGCAAACAAATCTAATGCAAATAAAGTCCTTAATATTTATAAAAAAAAAAATTACACTTAATGTACTGTTAATACAAGAGTGTGCACTGAAACAGATTTTATCAGTTTGGTTGTAATATTATTGTATTAAGGGGAATAATGTAATGATTTGTTACCTTGAAAGTGGTATTTGCAGGGTTAATTTTCCTCCTTAATTATTGTTGAACAACATTTTAAACATTGGTTTCAGAAGCCATATTTATATTCCAATACACATTCAACACAGTACTGAGAAATAGTCCTGCTATACATTACTAAAATCATCATAGAGGTCGCGTCAACTGTCCTCAGGACAAGGCGCTATGCAGAATTCTACTTATTTCGTAACTTTATGCAGGGGCGGCTCCAGTAATATTTTTTTTTGGGTATACCTGACAAGGACCAAGAAAAATTTTTGATTGGGGGACAAGAGGTTTAAAGGGCTTTCCCCGCAAAAAGGGGGAATTTTAAAATTTAAATGTAAAATATTTAGTTTTAATGCTTTCCCTTTATGTTCATATAATTAAATTTCTTTATAATTTTGAAATATCTACCAAAATTTTGGGTAGGCCTGGGCCTACCCTCTGGAGCCACCTCTGACTTAATGTATTTAATAGATTGACTTTGGTATAGTAAAAATTTGCATAGTGTTAAAAAAGCAAGATAAAAAATAAGAGCATAAGACACGTTTTGCAGGTCCTGATATTTTGAGAAGTGCCGCAGAACCTACCATTTGATTTAAAATACATGACTTCAGGACATAATTGAACGTGGAATGGTGTACAACTACTCTATCTACTACATCTTGGAATCATCTTCCGTTTCATTTTGATTCACAGGGTTGGAGTTTATTTTGATTTATCTGAATCTGAAGGAATTTTCATTGCAACATTGATATTAGTGTTATGTTATGTTACTTTATTGTGTACCTATTAGCGTTTGAATTAACCTTAATCAGGCAAGTCGGATGAACTACAGTGGAACCTCGATAAGAAGACCCTCGATAACAAGTCCCTCTTGATAACAAGTGTATTTTTCAAATCCCCTCGAATTTATTTTACCTCTAAATACATATTATTGAAAACCTTAATAAGAAGTTGACCTTGATAACCAGACTTATTTTATAATCCCCATGAGAGTCTTGTTATCAAGGATCTACTGTATCAGCCTTAGAAAAAAGAAAAAACTCCTTCAAAGTTGAATGCTATTATTCTTTGCAACAAACACAAAATAAAATAAAATATACTTATCGTTCAGTATAAATATCATAAAGAGGTAAGACAACATTCAAATTTAAACACAAATCTACAACATTCACTTTTTTCTCACAGTTGCTTACCTTGGTTTATTTTGTTGCTTGTTTCCTACAGGTTTGAGAGCATTGGAAACAATCAGAATCAGCATGATGGTATAATGTCAGTTGATATAAAATAACTCATACATTAAAATTAAACGACTGACTAAGATTACAATTTGGAATAATAAAATGAATAAAATTATTGTTAAAATATTTTTCTTGACATAAAAGGAAAATCTTGTTATCGAAGAATACTCAATGTGCAAATATGTTTGATAGAGTATTTTATACTTAACTAAATTATGACAATATTTTGACTATTATTTTTTAGAAAAATATTTTCTTAAAAATTTTCAACTATACAATAATACAATATGAGAGGAAATTATGAACTCCAATCGTATTATATTTTATAATTATAGAAACTGCTCCGTTATTTTTTTTATTTTAAATTTAAATACAATGGAAAACATATTTGTATATACAGTAACTTGATCTCTTTTCCAGTGGAGTAAAATTTGAATATTGAATACAGTTGTTTTTAAAAAAAATTTAAAAACATGCTAAAACATTTTTGAAATTTTCTTTTCCTTTGCTGTGCACTAAGTAATGCTAAGTAAATGTTGTAAAAAAAAGGCAAAAACTTTTTAATTTTTACTTTATTTAAAGTAAAATCACAGATATCGGTACTTCATTATTGTCTAACGTTCAACATACTCATGAGAAATTCTTGCATTTATATTTATGAAATGGAATATGCATATTCAACTTGTAATATATACTCTGTGTACAATAATAAAATTTACAAAAATCATTAACTAAAATATGTACATTTTAACAGTTTTTTTACAAAATAAATAGTAAAAGTAAAAAGGTAAATCATGAAATGTGGAAAAGTACTCATAAAACCATGTTGTATGTTTTATGCTAAAAACGAATCAAACACTAACTGTACCCTACAAACTTTTTATTCACCTCTTTGACAGAAACATTATCCCAGAGCAACGATTGGAAGAATGTAATTAATCTTGTAAATTGTTTCACTCCCTCTTCAAAAATTTTGACTACTCACAGGGATTAGTAATAGAAGATAAAATCTATTACAGAAAAATATACCAATGTAAAAAAATTAATATGCAATACTACCCAAAACTCATACATTACTTTTTGTTAGAACTTAGAAGCGTAGGAATACTTTAAAACCTCGATCCAGGGTAATTTGAATGAGTTAAATAAATCCATAGTTATTAGTGAAAAAATATTGCTTTCTTTAGAAACTAGAATAGGTTTCAATTTAGTTGAATATTCTTTACATTTTTTGTCCCCAAATACAGTTTTTCTCTTATCAAATTATATGTACCTAATAAAATTTTATTAAAAAAAGAACAGTTAAAAACATAAAAAAAAACATTAAAATACTTTGCAACAGCATAAAATATAGGTATAAAATTTTATTTTATATTTTCCTAGATCCAATCAGCATAGAATCAGTATGGATTAAAAACTTGAAAGTTTCCTAGATTATTGGTACTTTTTGACACTGAAATTTTACTAACAAGAAATAATAACCCACCGCTAGGTATACATGCACCTAAATAATTGAGGTTCTTATTTTGTGATAACACAAGTAATCTAATCTTACATCTCATTGACTGTAAAATTAAATACATACAACCGAAAGCTGAACAAAGTATAACATTTACTGTACAATTAAATCACAAAAATCTTACAATGCAAAATAAAGCTAACAAATTCGTTGGATCAGCCAATAAATACAAGTAAACTAAAAAAGTATTGAAAACTACCACTCAACGTATGAAAACAATTTGATTCAGGATTTGGTTTGAATATTGAAAACATTGGAATAAAATACAAAATAAACATGGTTCATAACGATAAAATAAAAAAAAAACTTAAAAAAAAACTGAAGACTGAAAAAGATATTTTGTTTATTTATTTTACTAGGAGTTTGAAAACAACATTAATGGAATGGAATCAAAAGAAAACAAAAGAAAATATACGGTATGCTTAATAAATAAAGTAACAATTTGTGACCGAACAGATATACAAAATCATTAGGCCTATTATTATTACAAATTTGTTTAGCGTTATGTTGTTGTGCTTTTTTATGAATGAACAATAACTCATTTTAAATGGTAGGCCTAATACATTTTAGAGCCAGTACTTTGTTTAGCGTAAAAACTAATAAATAAAGTACATTGAAGAAAGAAATTTAAAGTTACTTTGAGCAACTTTAAAATATAGTAAACTCTCTTAATCCAGACTAATTTGGATTCAAAGTAATGTGGTTTGGTGCAAATGCATATTAGGTTTTAAATAATTGTAATGTGAACAAAAACAGGGTTTTATAATAAAACAATATTTGCAACAAAACTTGAATATCGTGTTCTAAATTAAAAATCGAAATACTAGCTATATGCTGACATTAATGTGCAGTAGCTGTGTAGTTTACAATAGCACATCCTAACTTTGTAAAATATTTAAAAACTGCTCTCAAATCGTGTCCAGATTAAGCCAAGTCCATATTACAAGCTAGTCCCGTACATATCGGGGTTACGATACTAGGTTCTCAAATATGGAAACAGGGACAACTGTTGCAAACAAAGCTAGATAACAGTCTAGAAACAGTACAAACCATCAACAAGTAAAAAAAAACTGATATAAACCTGAGTAAGTGTGATACCACTGTTTTAGAAATCCTAACTTACAATGAAACCAAATGTTCTAAAATCACAGGTAACAAGAAAAATACTGTTTTGACACTTTCCACAAAAAATCACTTTGATTTTTTTTTGCGGAGCGAAAAAGTAGCAAAATGTCTTCGTAATCCTGAGGAAGAAGTTGAACTATCGATGATCTCTGATACTCCGTTAGTTACGACGGGTGGAGGACGCTCAAAACCCGGCCTAGGTAATTACAAGTCTACTATACAACAAAGTACAAAAAGCTTAGACTAATACAATAAAAACAATTTCTGCTGAGGACGTTCAGGGTTACAGAACAGGTCTAACTTAATGTGAAACTGAAAAAAAACAATTTCTTCTCTTTGAATTTATTTTACGCTGAACAAAATTTGTGGGTCAAGAACCACTTGACACAAATTGAAATTTCTCAAGAAGTGGACATATCAGGGAAAAATAATACAAGTGAACACAAATAAGGCCGAAGTTAAGTGTTATTTGGGTGTAAAAAAATGAAAACTTTTGTAATAATGTTTAATCATAATCATAATAATGTTAAATCATAATTGGGCTGACAGACCTTCAATAAGAGAAAATGGTCAATCTGCATTTAAGAATAACAGTAAACTCATCACTACTCTAAATAAAGCATTTAAATAAAGCATTTCAAGTTCTAAGGTAGGCCTAAATTAACTACATACGATGCAAAAGTGTAAAAACCTTAAAGCCCAAGAATACAACAAGTGTATTTTGAAACATGCAAAAGAAGTGAGGGGAAAAGTTACGAATCAAAACATAATAGGTGTAGGCTAATAAAAAATTACAAATATGTAATAAACATTATATTTATGGACAAAATAGATAGTTACAACAGAGCAACTCTTAGCCTTAAAAAATCAAATAAGTCTTTTCATAAATATCTATTAGCCTATAAGTTATTTTTTAAATTTGTTGAGTGACAAATCAAGAAAACTTTACCATTATGCTAACTACTATTACTTTTTATGATGACTCATCTGAGATAAAATCCCTGTCAATCATGGGTCTTTGACATTGATCAAGTAATTGTTTACCTAGGTGTAAAGATTGATGGATTTTGGATTTACACGAGTAACTAGACCTACCTGGCTTTTAATCTGCCTAATTTCATGGTGACTTTGCCAGCTGCTGTTTTCAACACTGCGGCTGCTTCCTCCTGTGTTGAATTCTTAAGGTCTTGTCCGTTCACTGAGAGTATTTGATCTCCTTTCATCAGTCTACCATCAGTACCAGCCGTGCTACCCTGGACCTGCCAACAACCATGCGTGTGAGAAGTACAACCCATCTGTGGTCCTATGAAGCCATGAAAACTTTCAGTAACCAAATATACATAAGGTGTACCCTCTCCCAACCTCTTCCTATTCTGATATTGATTTTACATAACTCTTTAAAATTACGGTCCTTTGAAAATGGTTTGAAGGGATGATTTTAACTACTATGATTTACCAGAAATGTAAAAATACTTAGCTTTTTAAGAAGGATATCAGAGTTGACACAGTCAAATACCTTAGAAGGCAGATCAAAGGAATTTAACAATCCCATTGTGGTTTGTGATCCATCTAAAGCCCCTGAAACCTCACCAATAAAATCTAATAACTCTTTCATTGAGCTTAAAAAACTTTCTGTCACGAACTCGTTCGTTTGTAAAAATCTTACTGGTTTCTAGGAAAGTTCAAATTTTAGTCACAGGCTAGTTTTTGAAGACTTTAGAAACATGTGATAAAAGGGATACTGTGCGATAATTCTCAATAGTAGTTTACACAACAATCGCGTAAAGATAGTCTTTAAGACACAAGTAGAAAATTTAATGTCCGAGCCTTGGCAAGTGCCTTTAAAACTTCTACTCATGTCTTTTAGGCTAATTACGAGAGTTGGATACACTACTTCACCTACGAAAGCTTTTTAGTTACTAAAAATCAGACTACTCATAATGTCTAGGAGAAGTTACGTTTTCGTTTATAACCTCTCATTGCCGCTGATAGTGATGCAACAACTCATTGTCCCAACCACTCACTCGTTGTATAATACACTAGGAGAGTACCCTTCCTTCGTACGGGGTTGGCATATAAGTTTTAAATACTTATTTCAGTTATACTCAAGCTTTGAATTTGCAATGGGGGAGGACAAAGTTTGATAAAATTTGCTTCTTTAAATTGACGGTACATACTAATGGTATTACACATCCATTATATGTAGACCTAATGTTCTACCACTTCACCTAAAAAAATTCTAGTGTTGCACCCTGTTGGCAAATCTTATAACTTTTTAATGCTTTTGTATATCATAGAACCAACTTTTTTAGTTGAAACAGCTGAATAAATTCTTTAATTCCCTTTAAATATGAATACTCATAAGGTTAACATGGGGAACTACAGAGCCACTGGGGCGTAGCCCGAAAGGATTTTTGAGATAAGAATATGCCTATATGTTAATCGGGAATGTGAGCTATCATGTTAAGCGAATCTTTTCAATTCTAAGAACTGAATTAAAAAGGCTACCCGTAGTTTAAAAAACGGTCGTAGGTAAAATATATAACCAAACTAAATGCTAACAATATACTTACAACATCAGAAATAAATATCCCAGGGCCGTTTTTTCTACCAACGATGCTCAGACCGAGACCTTTACCCGGTTTCTTCGTCAGTTCGATCTCCATAATGTCCATCAGTTCTTCCTCCTTGCCACTGACTACAGCTTCATCTCTGAACACCACCATTTTAACCTAAAAAAGTAATAAATGAACAAAACTGGTTTCAGATCAGGGTGAAAATATAAAAACAGTAATAATTCCTAAGAAAAATTCAGAATGTGAAATCTCTAATCGGTAACTTTTACATGGTTTTGTGATCCCTCCCCCATGCTAATTAATTGTTAAGCGCGACTTGAGTTGCAAGTTGGATCTGTAATATACCATTGAATTAAGTGAGCCCATTTTAAATACTTTGTCTATTAGTGGGCCTTGGAAGAGTGACTGATTTTATTTGTCTGGGAAGCCAAGTGGCTATTTCTAACACAACAAGTTCATTGGTTTGATTCCAACTGAGATCGTTTCTAGACGCAAATGCCATTAGGAAAAGGCCAAAGGTAAAAAATAGCAACAAGACCAGGGTGTGGGCCGTTCCCTTACAAAAACATAAAAATGCCAAAGTCGTAGGTATACACAAAAGTAATAGACAAAGACAGATGGTGATAGCCATTTTGTCCGACTCTATTTGTTTTCAGTGTGTTCTATGGCCTATCGGTCCTTTTTATGAGGTAAGATAGTTGATCCAACTAAGTTTGATAAGTTGATATGCCCTTTGTAACTTTCCCATAAACACTGACATCCAAGAAAAATCTGTAACTTGTCTGCCCATTAAAAAAATTACTTTTCCAATACCCTTTGGTGATATCATTGTCATATCTTTGACATCTGCAACCCTCCCAAGAGTTTTAGTGTATGGTGGACAATCTTAGCATCTACCTTGGCAGGTGTTTGTCTAAGAGCAGCGAGGGCCTTGCTGTGGGTGATGCTGCGGAAATCTTCACTTGTCACTTCCAGTATCTGGTCTCCAGGCTTGAGTCTACCATCCTTGGCTGCAGCTCCGTCAGGATACACCTCGTGAATGATGATAACTCCCTGGAAAATGTCCTTACGATAAGGTACAGTGTAATCGAGGTTGGCTTAAACAGTTGTGATCGTATAGTGAACAGTTGGATCACTATATATACGTATCCAGTTTATTGTATAGTGAAATACAAGGATAGTCTGTAAATGAGGGTGTCCCAACAAGCTTCATGTGCGGCAATTTTGTATAAATATATCACCCGCACCGTGTTCTTCATTTCCCCACATCTATTCTAGCTCGTCCCCACACCTATGTGGCGACTAGTCTGGTCTCCATGAACAAAATAAAAAGCACTTTTTTTACACTTAATTAATTCTGAGCTAGTGGGAATATGTATCGATGGCTGCTCAGTTGATAAGCAGAGACAGCAGACAACGGTAGTACAGTAGCCACATAGGTGGCATAAACAAATGTTACAATCACACATATTTTACATCAATTACTCCGCCAGTACTTCTCAAGCAAGTGAAAAGGATTAATAATAAAACTTATCCCACTATGACTATGGTTGTTCCTCATTCACAAAAAGGTGGTCAGTCAAGACAGGTTGTATTAAACAATTCAAAACTCTTTATGGTGACAATGTGGCCAGTATGACTTGCCAACAGAGGAAACTTAAACTCACCAGCAATGTGTCGGAACCGCCCACTATGCTCAGCCCCAGTCCCATTTTGTCCTTGTTGATCTCTATGGTGCTCTCCTTTCCAGGGGTGACGGGGGCAGTAGCTGGGTCTGCTGGCGGCTCCTCTGCCAGGGTGGCGGGGTCAGTCAGTCCTGCCAAACAAATATCAATTATTAAACATTCTTGCCACCAACACTGACAAATCTCAATACCAAAGGAATAACAGTGCTAAACTAAACAGGTTGACTTTTTACTTTACCTTGATTTAAAACAGCTATTAATCACAAAAATGGAAAGAGCATGTTTATTTTAAGTTTGTTTACATTTGGTTATGTTTTGTCTTGGCTATTTGATTAAATGACACACACTTGTTTTATTCAAAAACTACTACAAACAGGGTAGTCACAGGATTCCGATTGTCAAAGTTGGGGAAGTTTTGTTGAACATTCACTACGACTTTAGTTTGAATTAAATTGATGGGTAAATCCTTCCTTCTCCAAACAATTTTTGTTAGACGGGAAAATTGACAAGACTAAAAGAATTTTAAAAGTGGTTTCCTGCTTTTTTTAAATAAAAGTCTTAAACAACCCTCAATACATAAAAAAAACTTTTTTTTTATTTTGGGTGTGAGGCTTTCTTCCTAATTTTTATTTAATAACTTAATTAAAAATGGAAGGATCAACCCCCAAATGTTTAGTTAGCCTACTGGTAACTGGTAATGCATTTATTGATTTTGTACCTGTCCCTAAAGCTATACACAAAAGCCTTTCAAAATCTGAACCAAATGGATGAATGCAGTTCTAATTTAACTTACAGATAATCCAGTGTAAAAATTTTAGGAAAGAATAAAAAATCTTACAAAATTATAAGAATCAATTAAATACAAATTGTTAATTCACGTCAAAGTAGCGCCAGGTTTATGGCACTGGTGTATAAAAAGGTTGCCACGTTGTGGCCTTTAAACTATCACCTGTTTCTAGTTAACAGAACAAGAGTGATTGGCTTTGCATCATTAATTTTAATAGGTTAAGATATTGCCGACGAAAAGAGGCTTGTTATCAAAGCTGAACTTGTGTTTATGCATTCTTTATTTCCCAAAAGGTTTTATTACCTTTCTAATACTACTTCTTAAAATACTCAGCAAAGAAAAAACATTTCTTATAAAGAAGAAGTTATACAAGTAAATGCCAAGAATGCTACAATAACAAGTAAACAATTATGAACATTCTAACATGAAATAACCTAACGGTTTTTAGATATTTCAACATAAAGTTGAAGTCATGCACTATAAAAACAAACCCCAACAAAATATTATAATGATTCTTAAACATAATTTGCTCAGGTATTCATTCATAAACACAACTCGCAATGATGAAGCAAATGAAAGCATACTCACAAATCCATGCAAGATGATTGTAGAGAAGATCCCGGTTAAGCAATGATTGCAAAGAAAACAACAGAAAATGCCAAAATAAGATCTTGAGCAAAGCACAAAGCGTTGATGTTCAATAATGCATGTTTATATCAAAACTTCATAGTTCATACACATATGATTAACGTGTTGAGGGTAGACTATGATAAAACTTGTTTTATGTCTTAGATTGGCTTAGTTACATGCTTCTATTTATTTAAATTTTTGTTATGGGAAGGATGGCATTGTTTCTTCATGCATTAGAATGCATGAACACATTCACACATTCACATTCTGCTATAGCCTAATACATTATTATTTATTAATGTACTTATTTTAATCTTTTGAGTTATGATACAGGCAAAAATATGTTTTATCAAAATCACACAGTTGAAATAAAACTTCAACAACACATCTAACAAAGCAAATACATTCATAGTCTAATGTCAAACAGAGATTTAATCTCATATAATTCTTAATTCGTTTTATTTGAATTTTCTGATAACTACTCAAAGCTGATGATGAAAACAAAACCCCTGTCCATGTTCTCATTATTTCTCTTGCTTTCATTTGTATTTCGATCTTGCATGTTTTGCCGCTGATGTAGGTTCCCGACCAGTCATCATGTGACTGTAGACTGAGAGTGTGAGATTTAAATTCCATATGGTTGAAAACTGGTACTATACACTTAATATATTGATGTAAGTTTTTAAATGTAATACAACAACACAACCATTTTGTAATGTAAATTTGATGAATATTACTTTCAGATGATTTATAAGTTAAGTTACTAATTGCTATTCACGGTATTCTGTACTGTTTTAAACAGCAGTGAGCAATCTAATGTTCACAAGACATACAGACGCTAATTATCACAGGTGGGGACTAACGACCCAAACATTCACCATTGAGTAAACTATACAACCTGCCACCTATAATACAGCCATGTCAGCTACTACTACTCGATAATTTTATACTGTATCTTTAAAATTAAACATGTCTAAAAATAGGCCAACATTAATTTTATGAAAACCTGGACTGTTTTATGCTACGATTGTCACAATTATTAGTATCAAGTATTTTGCTAGTTTTATTATCCTCATTGTGTTTTTTTTTACTGTTTGAAATATAAAAAAATGTTAGCAAAACAATGCAACTTAATATTTTTAGTGCAATTACAATTTGTAAAAATATACAACACAATTGCCATATATATTTTTAAATAACAGCAAAATACAAAAACTGTATGATATGCCAGAAGTAGTGATCACAAGATTTAAAAAACTGAACTGAACTGTAATCTGCAACGTGTAAACTTTAGTTCACTTCAACAAAACCAATTATTCTGATCCCGGTGTACCACAGCCTACATATTTTCACTTTCGTATAAATTAGGCCTATTTTCTTTTTTAAGATAACAACGAATGCCAACCATTTCCTATGACACAGCCCCCATAGGTTATATACATCATGCAGTCGGTAATACTGACTTGGTTTCTCTGGTTCCTTGGGTGGTTGTGGAGTCGGACTTCTCGGTGCAGCAGCGTCCGTCTTCTCTTCAGCTTTAGGTTTGTTGGGGTTGCATACAACTAGAGTCACTACACCTTCTGTCTTCTTGAGAAGCGCTGCAGCCTACAAACATCAATCAAGATGTAAAAGAAAATATGGTTAAAGAATAAATTGTAATTATTATATCAAATTTAATTTAAAGGTCCTCCAAACTTGATAACTCGACAGTCTGGATTTGTCTGTGACCTCGTAAAGTTTCACACCAGTGTTATTATTACCTGCTGTGACCTTGGTGCTAAACTGCAGCAGTAGGTACCCTCTATAGTAAAAGAATAGCCTTTGCCGTTTTGGTCTAGAAATCTAGATATTTTTGGGTTGGGTAGAAACAGCAGTTGACCTGAGGGGTTGGTTTATAGTCTAGTCAAGATATGAAAAAAAACCCCTTAACCTTAAAAAAATTGCTCTAAAAGGTTTTTTGATGGTTTTCATTTCCAAAAAGTATGTTAAATTACATACTAAAAGTCTAATAAAATCGGAGTCTCGGAAATTGGGTTTTTCCAATATGGCGTCCAAAAATTTGAAAAAATAATAAACCTTACTATTTTCCCTGTAAATTTTCTTCTGAACCTCCAATTTAGACCGAATTTGGTACAAACCTTTGAAACTGTATTATCTATAAACTTTTCATGATTTAAGATAAATAATATACAGTAAACGTGTTGTATGGGGTTGAAAATAGGTAAAAATCTGTCTTAAGTTGTTAGTAGTAAATAACTTATTTCAATATTAGTCACTATAGGGAACAAAACTTTTTATCCCTAGTCTGTGCTATACCCATGTTGTAAATCCTTAAAAAATATATGCAATTTAGTATTTTTAATCATTAAATTATCTTAAGTGGTGGTGGGATAGTTATAAAAAAACAATGTAATTGTTATGGGTACTCTGAAAATTACCATATCTTAATTGTTAATTGGTACGCTTGGATAACAATTCATCGTGGCCTGTATCGTCTCCACAGATACAAACACACACATATTTGTCATAAGCGAATTCTGTGTCGAGTCAAGTAATAGAATTTGTTTCAATACTTTTTTTACGCTCATTTAATTCTTTTATTTTGTAATAGTTCACAAGTAGTTTATAAAAAAAATATATGTATAAAGTTAACAGGTATATTTTGGTAATACTGTTGTTAATCAGCTGTTTTTAAACTCCACAGGATTCGCTTCCGCTCATTCAATTGTAGTTTAGTAATAAAACACAAATAGTTAATTACAAAAATAATTACATGTATAATGTTTACAGGTTTATTTTGGCAATACTGCTGTTAATTAGATGTTTTTTTTTTTTTTACTTCATATGTTTCCAATCGTATTATTGTTCATGTTTACAGTTATTTAGATCAAATTTAGTCTAGCCAAGATATAAAATAAAACCCCTTAACCTTAAAAAATTGCTTTAACCCTCCCAGTGTTACTTGACGAAAATTCGACAAGCAGCACACTTTGTGTAGTGTTACTTGTCGATTTTTCGACAAGCAGACATCGTTTACGGCGAAGGCTCTATGACTGACTGAATCGGATTGAACTGGATCGAGTTAGGTATCGTTCTTTCCGTAATATTCTAAGCTTTCTCCAGAGGTCTGTCTCAGCGCTTTTTTTTCTCTGAGCCGATCGTAATTAATTGTAGCAGACAGCTGACGTGCGTGTGCGTGTATTTGTAAACAGCTAGGTTACCCTTGGACCGATGACTGATGTGTTTTATTACGTTTATCATTGTTTTAGTGTTAAAAATCAAAAGTAGTGATATACGTGTTGCATTATAAGAAGATTTAAGTGGTTTTGAAGTGCTGGTTGATGATTCTGAAGAAGTAGGTAGTGATATTGATGTAAATTATCAGCCAGATTCCTAGCTATGGTTAGGCTATGCATTCTTAGCTAAACGCTATGTACTGAAATCTGTTTTTTGCCCATAACTTATTTATTTGCAAATCTACTTCCTTATATTATTATATATTTGTAATCCTCATAAAATTTAGAACAAAGTGGCTATTTTCAAATATTTGTAGGCCTATAATTTATAAAATTTCATTGAGCGCGAACTTATTTTTTTTTTTGAAAATTTTCGAAATTATATTTTTTTTTACCTAAAGATTTTTTTTTTTTTTAATGTTCCTTATGTTTTATATATAATATTGAAACCCATGATTTTCCAAACAAAATGGTATATAGAACATTAGAATTAACATTGTTTTAAGCTTCTCAGATCCGTTTTAATAAAACCTTGCAAATGCGCCAAAAATAGGTGGACATTAAGGCCTAAACTATGGACACTTGGAGGGTTAAAAGATTTTTTGAAGGTTTACATTTCCAATAGGTATGTGAAATAATATACAAAAAGTCTAATAAAATCGGAGTCTCGTAAATCGGGTTTTTTTCAATATGGACAACATTTCCAAATTTCACTAAAATACTTCCACTGACAAGCAAGCTTTAACACTTTATTTATTCTTCATAAGAATAACATGGTCATTTTAAATGTACACTTTTTTATTTTCTCCGTAACCGTTAGGCACACAACAACGCGTCTGTATACTAAATTATTTTTTTTATGATCTCTTCAAAATGGTTTGGAAGTAAATTGCAGCTTTTTACAGTGAAAAATGGGAAAATCCCATTTTTACCCCGTAAAAATAGGAGATCTTAAGCATACTCAATTTTTTGGCTTAACCTAGACACAAATCTTAAATATACACAAATCATAATACAAAAACTTTCTTCAGGGTTATATGTTTTTAGGCCAGTGTCACTAATGTAACCTGGACATTCTAAAATAAAAATATTTTGTCTTATGGTCTGGCAATCTATGGAGGAACGCCCAAAAAATTTAGATACAGTTCTGAAACTAAAAATGCTATAAGAATCATGCTATACTTAGACAAACGATGTAAAAGATCAATTTTCAAAACTACAAATTTTGACTGTCTGATCAATAAATATGTACTACAACTAGTGGCCTGTAGGAGCCATAGCCCCTAATTTAGACTACAATAAAAAGCCATAAGACAAATATTCGAAATATGTTTTTAAAATTATCAATTTTATGTTACTTAAAATTAACAGTGTTTCTTTTTTTATATCTTGCTTTTCCTTCCGTTGGAGTCGTATACTGTATTAGTTGCTTCTGATGGGTCAATGAAATTCAATTGTAAAATAATGATTAAATCAATAACACAACATAACAAATGGAAACGTGCACACGGTTTGGCCTGAGCCCGGAGAACGACGAATCAGAGCTGCAATCATACTGCCAAACATTGCACATCTTTTCTAGTTTAAAATTGAAGATTTGTTTTGTAATCTTACGAATTCTGTTATAGTTTCCATTTCGAGAACCAAATGTATGTAAAGGTTAAAATTATTACTAATTATTATGAAGGCAACTGCCCCATTTCACGGTAGTAAGTCAGAAATATATCTATGAATTTGTCCCTGAATTTTAAAACAAAATTTGGAAATTAGGAAAAATGTCCATCCATATGAACTAGAAATAAAATTTATATAAATTTATCAATCTTAGCTTCTATGAAAAAACTAAAAAAAGGAAACCTTCATGGGATCAAAATTTTTGAATAATTTTCCTACCAAATTAAAAAGTAAAATAAACCAAAATTATTTCATACATCTAGTGAATCAACTGCTAAAAAAAAGAACTATTATTCATTTGAAGAGTTTTTCAATTAATGTAAAAAAATGTCGAGATGCTCTGCTGGAAAAAAATAAACAATAAAAACAACTCGATGACCCAAAGTGCCGCTCCAGAGATTTTTAAGATTTGCTCACTGCAACCATAGATAAAAGGAGTATAGACATGTCTATACTCCTTTTATCTATGCTGCAACTACTCTACTGGCTGCAAGAATTTGCAATGCTCCTGCAACAAAGTATGGGTTACCTTGTACTACAGCTTGTGGACTTTACCAGCTTGGAGAACAATGTGCCAGTTCGTAAAGTGATCATAACAGTGTACAACTTGATGAAAATTATGAATTATTATTTGTATAATGCTCTACTACCATAGATGAAGTAATATTACTTCATCTATGCTACTACTAACCACAAGAAAGTGTGACTATATTATACTATTACTAATATTATAAATGTGACAGTTTGTTTGTTTGAAGTTCAATCACGCATTAACTACTGGTCGGATTGGGCTGAAATGTGGCTTTATGATAGCTCAGATTCCCGATTAATACAAGCCTATTCTTATCTAAAAAATCCTTTCGGGCTAAAAATGTATAGATATTTATTTAAGTAAATAACATATGTATGTTGAATTTTAGCTAGCTTGTAATCTTTATTATAAGACCTATTATTGGATTTTTCAAGAAAAAAATAGTCATAAATTAAAACACCCCCACCGCAGCAAACCTGCACCCTAAGCGAATTTCAATTTGCCTGATTGAATTTACACTAAAATATCACATTAAAAATATCATATTAAAAATATCACATTTATTCCCTATTTAAATAGCACTAGTTTAACTAGTACTTCAGTTTGCTGCGACAGAGAGGGTAAAAAAGTGTTTTTAGTAAAATGTTAAATAGTTTAGTATAAAACAAATGCATTTTCCAAATTTGATAAAAATATATTCATATACAGGCTAACTACAACAAGTTTTCTTATTCTCCGTAAGAAAAACATAGGAGTTTGAAATTTAATTTTTTTTTAATTTTCTCCGTAACTATGTATTAGACCCATGACAACGCTTCAATGTACTAATTTTTTTCTGAGCCCTAAAATGGTTTCAAAATAAATTGCAAAATTTTACGTTTTTAGGGTCAAAAATGCGGAAAACCCATTTTTACCCCGTAAAACCCCCCATAATCCCCCGTTCCCATGGTCCGATCATGCTGGTTCGCGAAGTCGTTCAAATAAATGTAGGTTTACATGTTTGTACCAAATTTCATCGAATTCAGATAATTTTTGCTTGAGTTATTGTGCTAACGGACACATTTGACCAACATCTTGGACGCCATCTTGAATTTTGGACTTCCGAGACTCCGATTTTATTAGACTTTTTTTCCTGGAAAATACACATAATTTTAAGTCAAAATAACCAATAAAACAATTTAAAGCAATTTTTTTAGGGTTCTCGTACGGATTTACTCGACTATTAGGCCAGAAATAATTTTGGGCCCAGGCTCTGATCGGGTCATTTACCAGAGAGGTGTGCAAGCGACTTAATTTTTAAGCCAAGCTTTTTTTCCGCAATCACAGAAAGCGTCTACAAAGATGTGCAAGCAAAAATAGACAGTTTTATTGCAGTCACGGGTAATGTTCTTGGTTTTGTCGCAATCGGAAAGACAATGATGACGTCTCGGTGATAGCGGTGATTGTTTACGATTTCCCTAAAACCTAAAGGATAAAAAATGTTCTACCCGACCAGGCCGAAAGTAAAGGAGTCTGCAAGCCCACAGTTTGGATCTTGCACTGCTTGTAGATATTAAGATTAAGACCAGGACATGTGATTTACGCATACCTGACAACCAGAGCACTAGCCTACAGCCCAGCCAAATGTGTAAGAACCATTTATATGAATTTCAGAATTTCTTAATTTTTTCTTCAAAATGAACTGCAATTTTCTTCAAAAAGTTAAATTGGGATGTTCTGGTGTTATGTACCACTGTACAAGAGTAATAAAAGATAACACAATTTGCTTCAAAATTTGTTTAGCCTGTACATCACCCATCATTTCTCAAACTTGGACCATCACACAAGCTGAGTTTGTGGGTTTGTACTACAGTGCACAACCTCTTCACCAACCTTGCATTAACCGATAATTGGATTATCTGACCTCGCTCGTAAAATATTATAGTTAGTTTTAACCGACCTTGTTTTGAGAGCGGTTCGGTTTGACCGCCGCTTTCTATGAATCTTGGCATTGCCGGTACAATGGGAATACATCCTCCGCCATGGGAACAATACGTCTAACTCTTTAAGATGTTGCCAAGAATAAATTATTTTGTATTTTTCCTAAAAAAATATTGCATATTGCCAGTTTAACATCATCGTTCGTAATCAATCTTGATTCCAAGGTTAAGATTGTTTTTGTGACTCACACCTCCAGTGAGAGGATATAAATAAACACCCTGTCTCGTAACGAAATGGTTGCGTGTATTAAAATGGGAATTTTCATTGACTCTTGCCTACGACTATAATTTATTCCACTGAAAGTAAAATACCAGCGTAAGTAAGTGACTTTACCGCGTTTTGGGTTTATTCCTAACTTTTCTATTGTCAATACTTAAGAAATAATGGAGATAAGTGTAGTTTATTTTGTAAATAATACACCCACAACTTAAGAATAATAATTATATAATTCTAAATGAATGGCACTTCATTTTTTCAAGTTTTTAGGGGCTGCCCGTTTTAACCGACCTTTTGAGTTATCCAACCTAGGTCCGTTAGTGTCAGTTAAGAAGGGGTCTACTGTATATTTAATTTTTTGATCCACGATTTTAGGTATCATTCATAACATTTTACGCCACATTGTAAGTCATAATCCATGCTAAAATTTCCACACTCATATTTGATTTGCTGGTATAAGCAAATTTGCCAAGAAATACATAATTTCAGGACTAATATGTTACTATTGAGTTTACTTCTGTGTACTAGAGTAGGTACACTAAATGGGGGCTACCAGTACTTGAACAAGGCTGTTGCAGTGTAGGCTCAGTGGCCCAAACTACGCCTTCTCGGGCATTTCGGTAATTTTGTTTCTTTGTTTTTTTAATATTGCGTTTATTGTAAGTTGTACAATGTATTTTTTTAAATCAAATTTGTTTGTTTGGTCATGGATTTGTTATTTTATAATGCATTTTGAATACTAAACTATTTAAGGGGCTCAACCAAGTGCACTAACCATTGACTACCACGGCCCAAGCGTCAGCGGCCCAAACTACGCCGGCCAAAATCGGTAACAACTACAGTATTAGCATTATCTGTAGCCCTCTTATAGGTGTATACTCGATGCTATTACATATAAAAATAGTGTTGCCTTATATTACACTAAAAGGTTATGCAATATAATATTAAAAAATATATTGATGTAAAGTTGGTACTCACTGCATCATAGTTAGAGCCTAATAGGGTATCTTTGTTGACTGCAAGAATCATGTCTCCAACTACCAACCCAGCCTGAAATAAAAATGACAAACCATTATAACTAAAGTGAGAAGTTGTTACAAAAATCCATTATAAAAAGAGGAGAATAAGTTGTTTTACTGTCTAGGTAAAAATTATTAAAGAGGATTTGAAAAGCTACCTATATCCTATGAGAAATATTGAAATTAATTTCAGTTCCTTTAACCCTCCAAGTGTCCATAGTTTAGGCCTTAATGTCCACCTATTTTTGGCGCATTTGCAAGGTTTTATTAAAACGGATCTGAGAAGCTTAAAACAATGTTAATTCTAATGTTCTATATACCATTTTGTTTGGAAAATCATGGGCTTCAATATTATATATAAAACATAAGGAACATTAAAAAAAAAAAAAAATTTTAGGTAAAAAAAATATAATTTTGAAAATTTTAAAAAAAAAATAAGTTCGCGCTCAATGAAATTGTATAAATTATAGGCCTATAAATGTTTGAAAATAGCCACTTTGTTCTAAATTTTATGAGGATTACAAATATATAATAATATAAGGAAGTAGATTTGCAAATAAATAAGTTATGGGCAAAAAACAGATTTCAGTACATAGCGTTTAGCTAAGAATGCATAGCCTAACCATAGCTAGGAATCTGGCTGATAATTTACATCAATATCACTACCTACTTCTTCAGGATCATCAACCAGCACTTCAAAACCACTTAAATCTTCTTATAATGCAACACGTATATCACTACTTTTGATTTTTAAAACTAAAACAATGATAAACGTAATAAAACACATCAGTCATCGGTCCGAGTAACCTAGCTGTTTACAAATACACGCACGTCAGCTGTCTGCTACAATATTTTCGGAACTAAAATGAATAGCGCTTAGAGACAGACCTCTGGAGAAAGCTTAGAATATTACGGAAAGAACGATACCTAACTCGATCCAGTTCAATCCGATTCAGTCAGTCATAGAGCCTTCGCCGTAAACGATGTCTGCGTGTCGAAAAATCGACAAGTAACACTACACAAAGTGTGCTGCTTGTCGAATTTTCGTCAAGTAACACTGGGAGGGTTAAAGAAACCTTGCCTATTTTCTTCTTACAAAAAATATATCAGAGTAAGTAAATTTCTAAACTATGAACACTTAATACCTGTGATTTTAATACAGTAGAACCATAACAAGACCCTCTAAAACAAGTCACAAGGGTAAATCCCCTTGAAATTATTTTACCCCCAATCACATGTTATTGCAAACCTCGATAAGAAGTCAATCTTGATAACAAGTCTTATTTTATAATCCCTATGAGAGTCTAGTTATCAAGGTTCTACTGTACTTTTTTTCTAGAGTCTATTGTATAAAGTTTTCTCATACTCAACATTTTACAGATTGACCTTATTGTACAAGTTGTTACCTGTTGATATGATTCTGTTTCATAGCCTAGCTGTTAGAAAAGTTACGGGCCAATTTTGAGATGAGTTTCGATGATGAAAATAGAATATTCACCTGCTCTGCTGCGCTGCCTTCTTGGATGTCAGAAATGAATATTCCTTGCCCAACTTCAGCATGTTTCCCCTCAATGATCATGATACCCAGACCCTGGCCGGTCTGTAACAATAAACATTATCAGCTGATCGTGTCAAGCTTGCCAACTCAGGAGAATTTAATATCTCAGTCACATCTGTAGCCCATATGTATATAGCCTAACAAAATATATATGTTATATTTGATTCATGATTTGCAATGTGTGTTCTAAAACAATAAATTTTAGGTTAGTTATTATTATCATTAAATTAAGATTAAAACAAAATTTCACATATTTTATTCTAGATAAGAGCATAAAATGGTAAGTGTGTAGATTTGTTACCCACTAAGATCAACTGTTTCTATAGCCAGGCTCAAGGACAGGTGGTTTAATTTCGAGCCATCAAACAGTACCTGCTTTTCTTATGATCTACTCTGTGGTCTGATTAGGTACTATCTGAGCCCTAGAGCCACCCAGATACATGGCTATATTTTGTCATATAGATAAATTTTAATTGAATGTAGTGAACATAAATTGAACATTCCTTAAATACCCAGATTGTGTATTACGATTGTATGTTTTCGAACAGTCAAAGTTATTTATTTGACAGCCATGTAGTGTAACAGATAAAACTGTGGGTGAAAGCTATAATAGAAGGTCTAGGTCAGAAATAGATAAGATAAGCGCTTTTGTAAATACAGTTTAAGAACAATCAAGCCAACACAAAGAAAAAGCACTGCCTTTACATGTCTTCTTTAAAACTTTAAATAAACATGTAATTGGGGTTGAAAAAATATAGTTTATGACATTATATTAAGCACTAACTAGTTTTTAAACTTGACTAAACAATATTTGCATCTTTGTCTTATTTTTTCCCCATTTATTTACCTGTTATGTTGTCACAGTATGTTTATAAAATATTATTATTGTAGTGTTTTATAGCAGAAATATTTTTTTTATATAAAAATGATTCTACATTATAAAATATTAAATCCTAAATAATATTATTGGTCTCAGAAAAGTAACTTGATTAAAAGAGACAGGATAAAATATATTTTGGAAATGAAAATTATTTATACGGTGTTAACTGAAATTTTTACAACATATTTTTATATAGGTACTTTATAAAAATGCAGCTGTATTATATTTTACAATGTCACATTGAAGCGTTTAAACACCAGCTAAATATCAAGAAATCTCATAAACCACATATCTACTTACAACATTGCCATTGCTTCATAAATAACCACCACTGCAATTAAACCAAACACGATTAAAGCAAGAGAAACAAGGATGAAACCAATCCAAGAGCAGGCTTCTGTCTGATAAACTACAGCCTGGTATTAATAGTAACTGTAAAATACGGTTAGCAGAGAAAACATGCGATGTTGGTCCTGCACGCGATCAGACGTGCTCGAACATGCCTTGACATGCACTACCTCGACATGCATACTTCTGACATGTGATAGTGACAATTTGTCTGACAAGATATTTTTTAAATTTGTAAATCTACAAAACAAGGTCGACCGATGGTTTTAGCTGTCGAGATTGCTTCTGCAAAAAAACCTCAACAAACCAACCATAACCTAACATCTGATGGTTTGTAAGTTTGTCAAAATGTAAATTTCACAATTCATTGAGTGAAAGTTTTGGGGGACATTTACAGTATGTATTTTGTTGGAACTGATGAAAGAACTATTCAATGTCAAAAGTATTGTAGTTCGAGCTACAAATTGAAAGAGTTACACATTGTTGGAGTAATACAATGTCAAGAGTTACACATTGTTAGAGTTTTTTTTTGTCCCACCTTCACATCCTAGGACACTAGTTCTAGCCCGGAACTGTTTTACACATTACTTCAGGCTAGTACTAGTGGTTTGTGGCATTATCACATGGATAAAATGCATTGGTGATGGAAATGGAAATGGATCCAAAACATTGTTACCTTACAGGAAATGGATTGGCAGGATTTGAATTTGGGACCTCGGGCACCGAAGTCCCGCACTCTACCACTAGGCCAGCTCGCTCCCAATCGTTGGTGTAATACAATGTCATGAGTTACACATTGTTGGAGTAATACAATGTCAAGAGTTACACATTGTTGGAGTAATACAATGTCAAGAGTTACACATTGTTGGGGTAATACAATGTCAAGAGTTACACATTGTTTGAATAATACAATGTCATGAGTTACAGGTTGTTTGAGTAATACAATGTCAAGAGTTACACATTGTTGCAGTAATACAATGTCAAGAGTTATACATTGTTGGAGTAATACAATGTCTAGAGTTACACATTTTTGGAGTAATACAATGTCAACAAGAGTAATACATTGTTGGAATAATACAATGTCACGAGTTACAAATTGTTGGAGTAGTACAATGTCATCAAGAGTTAACAATTTTTGGTTGTTAACAACTTACATTCAAGTTGTTAATCAAGCAAAGTTACACTTTGCTATATGTCAAAGATACACATTGTAAGAGTTCTAAGACATAATATCCATACTACTGCAAATGCAATGTTATCTCAATAAATATCAGACACTATAGCACAGTACACATATGAGAAGTATGCAATATGAGAGCTACATGTCGCATGCCAAAGGTGAAGGGTTACAATACCTGCTGGGTAGGGGAGGTGGCTCCACTCTCCGTAAAACTGGGCTGTACAACATACAAACACATTACTACACTAGGGGCTGAGGTGCTACAGTACACTACAGGGCCAAATTGTAACACAAAGAAAAACTTTGCAACGATATTTGTTTCTCACAAGTACTTTTGGCATCAGTTTTGTAAAGATCCTTCATTCTAGGGGTCTTTTCAAGAAGATAATCACCACTATCAACATTTGCCCTATACAAATGATGGTGATATGAATGAGGTTAGGTTGGGTTAGTTTTTGTCAAGTCGGAATATGTTAGGTTAAGTTATACTAAGTTATGTCAGATTAGGTTATCTTAAATTAGGTTATGATGGTTAGGTTAAGTTCTTGTTGGATAGGGAAGGGGCAGACTCTGGTGACAAACATGCCGACCACAGCTTACTGTGCATGATTAACAGAAAGAGGCACATGTCAGATAAGGTTAAGTTAGTTTCCTTACAAGATGTTACAAATCAAACTATTCATTTGTGTTCATTCCATGTATTCAAATTTACTATATCCTTACATTACTTTCATTTGCATAGGCCAAATTTCAATAGTAGTGGGCATTTCATTGAAAAGATCCAAGAATTTTATTTATGACAAAATACTCAACATTTCAGGGTAATTTTGTTATTTTAAAAGTTTGTCAACCTAGCATCTCCATCTCCATGGACCTCAAGTCTGTGCAGAGAACATATCAATGTAAGGGGTGAGCTAGTAAAGTGCAAGATGAACTGCACAGATCAATTTTAAGTGGTGAAACAAATCCAAGTCATGGTTACTTTTGTTATACAGCCTGTTTCGCTACAGATTGAGCCACTAAATCACAACAATTTTAGGTAATAGCTCCCAAACATTCACTTACCAATTATAACTTTAGAGTAAACAAATGGCAGCCAATAACAATTTTGTGAGATATAAGCCCACTAGAGAATGCAAATAAATTGCATTACTACTATTACTAGTATTACAATTTTCAGCAAAATTGGGGGGGGTGGCGCCCTGGAGCAGAAATGGCTCAAGCCACCCCTCTACACACCGAACCTCATCTTGTTTTATACATGTATACCTTCTTAAAGAAATGTGTCTGTTGTTTTTAAAGTCAGTTTATTATGGTTTTAATAGACTTAAAAGTGGAAAACTTTGGTTTTAGGTTATTGGTTGCTAAGCAATAATTTTGCCGTAATCACGGGGTACAATAACGGTGTCGGTTGCATAGGACGTTAAAATCTCAGCTGCTGTCACAGGGGATAATGATGATGTCTTCAAGGATGTTCCCAACAGCACCGTTGTTGTTGTTGTTGTTTCGAGAATGAAGGAGTTGATGGCATTCGAAAGGATGATCAAGACAATGCCGCGATCCCACGAGACGATAGAAATGTCTTTCACCACGATAGCGGGATATAATGATGATATTTTTGCCTTCACGGGAGATGTTCAAGAATTTTCCGTATCACGGATGTTGTCCGTATGATTACGTGAGTTTGACGTGCCAGTGAGAGATGATCATGATTCTCCCTTGATCACAAATTGAAATTGTAGTCATGATGGTATCATGATAATTGCACACTACACCAAACTTATTATTACTAAAGCTAATCCTGATTTTCTACAGGCAAGTTCCCAATAAATCTTTGGATACTCAGGCATATAATCAATGTTTAAGTCGGTTGTACGAGTGTACCAGAAGTGGCGCCCCCCAGAGCCTTCTGCCCTGGAGCGATTGCTCCAATTGCTCCACTGTCGCTACGCCACTGTGTTGGTGATTTGAAAAAGTAAATGATATTTTTGGAGAAACCAATAAACTTTTAATACGATTGTAGATAACTGGCTCAAATAAATGTACAAGCAATAACAAGGTTTTGCTGCTTTATAATTTTTTATTTATCCACGACAGTTTATAGAAAGTTTTTTACAAAGTTATTCAGTATATTTAATTGTTAAGTTTTAAATAATCTTGAGATAAAAGAATACATGTAACCTGAAATATTGTAAAATATTTGGAGTAAAAAGGATCAATTTAGGTCACAAAATATATAACTAACAGTCATTATTACAACCATTCAAAAATTCCAAAGATTTAATACGGTATGATAAAAAACTGAATTATAAATGGATGCACATTCTCAAAGTAAAGTGACATATTAGAATAGTGGACAGTAGCAAGAGAGAAAATATATTGAATATTGGTCTTTTGCTGTAAACAAGCTTATCAAGACGAAGATGGGGTGTTTTGGCTGATGTAATGATTATAAATAAAACTATGGAGTAAAATTAAAAATTAATTTTGATTAAGAAGCTTTTGAGTTTTAAATATCAAAGCAATGCAGGGATTTGAAACTTCTAAAACTACACCATAGCCCAGTGAATACTGTGCAAAAAGTGCAAATTTTAGGAGGAGCTAACAAAGTGTAAAACAGGTAAGTGCATTCCTCTGCAGGCATTTATGTGTTAAGATTTAATATATTTTGGTTACGCATTAAACTATAAACATGTGACGGTGATTGATCATTTAGGGTACATTTGCTTTTTAAAAGGTTTTTTTTATTTAACTGAACTGCAAAGTGTTGTTAAGGTTTGTGATTGAACACTAATAATCAATGGACAATAACACTATTTATGTTTGTCTAAGTGCTCTTTTAGTGTGAGTATCATAGATTGTTTATACAGACGTTTTTGGCCTCAGGTGCGCCCAGACTTCTCAAATCCTGGTTTTGTAGAGCAGAGCACTTGTAAAACCTTTTTATTTGTTTAAAATTGTAAAATATAGACCTGGTAGAGTATTATACATGTTTTACAGGGAAACATTATTTTGTTCATGGTGTTACAGCATTTCTCTAATTATGTACACTTTTTTAATAATCCTTTTTGGAAAATAGCATCAACGTTTCTAGAAAAATTTTAAGAGGTACCTAACAATTATATGTAGGCTAAATTGTAAAGATTAGTTTTCCAATTATATGAAATGTTACTGCCACTTAAAATAAATGTGTATTCTGCATCTTGATAATACCGTAAATTACAGCTTGGACTTTTATAAAAAGAATAAATTATGAGTTATTTCCTTAAAATATTTCAAACCAAAATAATTGTATGCACATTAAAGAACTACAAAATTAATCTGACAGAAACATTCAGGAAAATCAGGAGCATCTGACAGGAATCTAAAACTTTAATACTAAAAAATATTTAAAATCTGCTTAAAACTGTAACAAAATGTATCCATGCTTTGTAAACTTCAAGATGCATAGTTAATTTCTGATGAAAAATGTAAAAAAAGTAACAATCCTATTTAGTTTGAAACTGCATTTATTTAAATCTTTTACTAAGCTGTATTTATTAAAAAAATACTGAACAAAGAGTTCAATTAATTACTAAGTATGCTTTTATACTAGGTTTTTTTTTTATCAAGAACAGACATTTTATTTAACTTTGCATCTATCATCACTCATAACTTTTTACTTGAAGATGGGAGTTTTTCAAACGTGAGCCACAACTTGACAATAAATTGTTGGAACGAAAAACATTCTCACTGACATCAAGTATCAGGTTTTAAAAGTTGTTCAGAGTTAAGTTGGAAACAGCTGTCATATATCACTTACAGTTACCGAATCACATGTTACGGCTTCAGTGGCAAAAACTTTTATATTCTCTGAACATACTTTTAAAAATAAATGAAAATATACAAATAGTTACTTGGTGTTTTTATGCACTTCGCTTCTGAGTGATTTTCTGCATTTCAAAAATAACATTTATTGTATTTTGTGTTGCATTTTGTATTGTCTCATTTTAAATTATTTTCGAGGTAGTAGGAAATTTATTAATTGGTAGATTTTATTTTTAACTGTAATTTAGATTTAACGATCCTAAGTTTTTGCATAAGTATGTTAAATTGTCTCAGTAACTGCAATAGCTATACAATGGTAATGGGAAAATAGGCTACATATTGAATTGTACAGCCAACTTTTGACTGACAACAAGAATTCCATATTTTTATAATCACTTTGGGTGTAAACTAAAATATCTCTACAGTTTTTAGGTTACCTTTTTCTACCTCGTCTCTGCCCAACAAAAACATGTTTAGGTCATGTAGAATATTTTCACCAACATTCATATGATAATAGAAAACCAAGTGCCTGATAAAAATGTTTCATGAAAACCACAACTCGTCTTATCAACTTCCTGTCCCTACTATCTCTGACATTTAACATTTGGCATAAAGTTGTTTTGTAACTTAGGAATTATAAATTTAGTTGACAGTACTTATTGTTTAATAATTATTGTGGTTTAAGTGTAATTCTTAGTAATGTTTATGTTTTTGAGAGCCATAGAGTATTAAATTGCATTTAAAAATTTGGCACGTTTTACACTTTTTTAAAGCAACGTTATTGCCTGTAACTATTTCAAATTGTCTATTCTTATAATATATATTTGGCTCATAACTGTGTCAATATTTAGTGTCAATAGCTAAGATATTGTTTGAGGGTAGTTAGATTCTCTTAAGTATAGACTTTTAACTTATGGCAGTTTTGAATCATCATATTTTAAAGAATCAATTAGGCTCTGACCATAATACATTTTGCTATCAAAACTAATTTATCTATACTCTACTCGACGTTTTAGGTCTTACAAAGTTTTAAGTCTAAGGGATGTAATTTTCAAATCAACAGCAACAGTATGAAATATACATTGAAATATATATTAAATGAAAACTTGACTTGATATTCATAATGCACTTAAATCTGTTCAATATTCCTAGTCAATTCTGAACATAGCAGTGGGAAAATTTACACAAATATAGTCATATATATTCAATAATTTTAAATTGTTATTTGCATTCATAGTTTAGAAATATATTTGTGGACACATTCCCAAGTTATTGGAGAATACAAACAAATAAATTGAATAGGTTTTCTTTACAAAAAGTTGCAGGCCTATAGGAGAAATCACCACAATAATCACACAATTATATGTGTGTGTGTGTGTGTAAAAAGTATCATATGGCAAAGCCTTAATTGTAAAAAATCATGATTAATGGCCAGTTAGTTTTTTTTTCTGTTTTAATATCATCACATCCAACTTCTTACTTGTATAGAGACTCATCCGAGAGTAAAAAAAATAATTAATTGAGTGATTTTACTAACCATTATGTCATGTTTGCAAATAATTGGTTGTCTAAGCTTTACACAATAACAACTTAGTATATAGACAACATTTATACAATTAATTCCTATCTTGCGATGCTGGAAAATAGCTTGAAATATTGAACAAATTTTTTTCTCGGAAATACAGTTAACTTTAAATATAATTTTCTAAATTCCAAAAACAAAATGTTTGGCTAAATATACTGTATTATGCTATCAACATTTAAAGAAATATTCAAAAATAAACTCTTAAACAATATTCCTGTAGGCCTAAGGTATACAAGTAAACACAATTTGTTTCACATCTTAAAAATTACATCCCATAAAAATAAAATGGAGCACTAATAAAATACAAAACAATACTAGCACACATATGTCCAAAAATACTAAACCATGATTATTTCAACAGGTTGAAAGAATTTACACCAGCGACAGGATAATTGGAATTTATTGCATAAACATTTTAAAGGCATTTGTGGAACTACCTTATACTCAAACATAAAATAATATCTAAAAACACAAAAAGAAAAGATGTAAAAGATTCTACTGCGGCCGAACGCTCATCTTACCTTCTTGATGTTAACTGTTCGAAGACCTTTGAAGTTGGCGTATCTCTGCTCGGGCGTCTACAACAGAAAAGTGGCTGATTATATTTGTGAAAACTTAATGAAATCAAAAATTTGCTGGCTAAATTAGTGGAAAAATTATGAACCAAGAAAAGTGGCTGGTTAGATTTGTGGCTAACTTACTTTTACTTTTTACTGACACAAAACTTAATCTGCAGCCAAACCGAAAGTAGTTTTAATGCCAACAGGTTAATAATAAAACTTACTTATGGATCTTTACCCAGAATAAACAACATAATAATTTCCAATTACTGATGTAACAATTACAGTAGAACCCCTGTTAACGGAATTTATGTTAACCGAAACCCAGGTTAACCAAAATGGTTCTATAAAATAAAATAGGGCTGTAAAATGCTTTAATAACTTCATTTGTATGGTTTAAAGTATTTTCTATCCCATTGTAACATTTTTGTAGCTGAAATAAAACACTGAATATATACCTAGACATTCTCTTAAATTAATTTTTTCTACATACTGTGGTGATACATTGGCTATTTTTAGCATATGATGGGTTAACCGAAAAATTGGTTATTCGAAACGGTTCTCCCCCCTTTATTTCAGTTAACCGGGGTTCTACTGTATATTGAGGACCAAGAGAAATGCCTTAATTCCTTCCTGCCTTTTTTTCAAAAATTACTGAGACACTAGTAGAGCGGTCATTGTAAATTACCATTTTCTTTTGTATAGCCTACACCATAATTTTAACCATGCTAAAATTGAAGCTGTGCTACGACCGTCACCTTGGAAAATGGCGGCATATTTCTGTGGTTTTGCCTATAGCTGCTTTACTTTGTTATTAGAGATAAAGAAAAAGTCTTCCAATAACAAATGTAAAACTACCCATTTTTGGTCATCTCCATTTTTTTCCAAACCCAACGTTTACTGAGTTTTTTACGATTAAGTATAGTTGAATTAAGTGTCATTATAACAAAATGTTATATTATAGCCAATATATTATTGTAAAAATTACTGCCAGCAACCAAAATAAAGAAAAATGCTGATGTTTATGTCTATTGTCTAAAGCGGGTAACGTGTCTACCAGTACCCTTAAAAATCATAGATTTCTTAGTGACCTTTTACCATTAATGATTTAATACTATATTAAATGTGTAGGTTATCTATAACAACAGGTTGAGGTTCTTCAATTTCATAAACAATAAGTTAATTAAGCTAAGCAATTAAGTTAATTTGAGAGAGTACTTCTCTGTCTATTCTACGATTAATTTATGTTCGATTTTGTCATTGTCCCTTTGTGTGTTTTGTGTTTTTTGTAAACGTGTCTCCGTTCTATGTTATCGTGTGTCGTATATGTTTTATTTATTGAAATCTGTTTGTTAACGACCTTTGAATGAAGTGATTACCTGACACCTTGAGGCCTGTTAATGGTTCAGAAGAAGCTAAACTAGTTGCCAAAACAGCAACAAAGGATTACTATATGCAGGTATTGTCACACATTTTAAGCAAAATATGTGACTTATATAGAAAAAAACTATGTTTCTTTACTAGTACTGCTTCTAATTTGATACAAAATGTTCCATTTTTTAACCGTTTTACCTTGCAAAGACTGTAACATAGAATGCCTTTAAATTAAAAATCAGTTTGGTTTACTTCTGTAAACAGTAAACGTCCTTTACAATGAAATCATCACTTTAAACAAACAAATTTCCCAACGTTCTTCTTATAAAATCCAGTACAATTCAAAATACAAAACTTAAGATAAAATAAATATATCTGTTGAGCTTATCACACAAACAACATTATAAGGCAAAATTCAAAACCGCTACTTAATTCCATTATAGCATGGGATAGACATCAGTGTACATCCATTACATCTTAAAACCTCTCATTTAGTGCCTACCTATATGTTCTACCACATTATGAATTTTGTAAAGCAATTTGCAACTATTTTTCGGGAACAATTAAAAAAATCAAAATACATTGGCCTACAACTACTATTCAAAAAATCTGCCATGCTTATTCTTATTGCATAAACATTAAAAGGTAAAATTAAAAATCTAACTATCATTGTCCAAACACAATGACTAAAAACAAATTTAAAATGGTTCTATCACTTATCAACCAAACAACACATGGGATTTACCTCATCATCGAGTGAGACGGGGAATTGCGTTATAGGCTTGACTGCTAGGCTTTCTAGACCTTCATCCTTCCTGAAACACACAACACTCATCAGCTGGCTCTAGTATGTTAAACACAACACAACGCACACTGCTTAGAATATTCTATTAGTAGCTCTTTTCTATGCTAATGGCGCCATTAGCAATACGACAATAATTGGTCAATTAGTTGAATGATTTACGCTTTAATGTCCAAGTAAACAGGGCTGAGATTTTCAAAGGTGACAAAAGTTGAAAGTTATTTAGAGAAAGTAATTTTAGGATAAATTTAAAAAAAAAAACAAAACTTAAATTTGTTACACTACTTCGTTAAAATATATAATGAAATGTCTGCTAGGCGAGTGAGAAAAACCTGAAGAGGTATCAAATGATAACCAAATAGAAATAAACTGTGTCCTATCCTACATTATCCGGAATGAATAAAATATAACTAAGTGATAAGCTACCTACTGGTTACACCATGACCTTGCATAGAGGATACCTACATAAGATTCTATGCTACGTGTTATCTTACTGGGGAGATTGACAGTTTGTTTTCTGAAATTTGGGCAGTATATTTACAAAAAAAGTTGCACTTAACATTGTGCAAATGTCGTTTAGACGGCAATATGGTACCATACTAACTATAAATGTACTGTACAGTACTATTTTACCTACAAATTTCACGATTTTAAATTTATTTTATCCCTTTAATTGCTTTATTTACATGAAAATAATTAAATAATGTGAATTTTTAAGGTAGCATAAAATCTGAAAAATATTCTTCCAATACCAAACAAACATGACAAGAACAATATTAAGAGTATATCCTACTACTATGCTTTACTCCATTAAATGGATGTTTTAAGTTTAAGTAGGCTGAAACTTATAAAAAAAAAAAAAAAAACACTTCAATGTAGGATTGTAGGTAGGCCCTAATACAGATAAGCTGAACAGCTAACAGTAAATTGAAGTGAGAAATCCTTTCAGTATAAACCACTAATTAATGTTAGTTTAACTGAAACATGTAGGTTGAAACCTACAAACAAGGTTGATAGAACACAAGGGAATGCAGCAAAGTGATATCGGAAGGTTCGGAGGTTTCGCAAACTCTCGGCCAAACCACAACATGGCCTCCAACCACACTATATCTGCTTCACATTACTTCTGGGGCTAGCTAATCTAAGTTCTCCGCTTTTTTACATCGATGGTAGATTACCGACGTTTTCGTCAACCATCCATGACTGAATTGTATTAGTTTTGGGTTAGGCCTAATTGGTTGTTGCAGTACAGAGAGCAGAAAAAAATATAACCGAAAAAAAAAACATCGATCAAGTCCTTGGAGCCTAGACATTCTCTCATAAAATAATTGAAAAACTAAAAAGGGAATTTCTTATCACACAGTGCACTAGATATTAAAATTATTACCACTTTGGTGCTTGATAAATATTTCTGGATGATGAATAATATTTCTGGATGATTAATAACTCTTCAGCAGCTGTTTGAAATGATCGAGGATAACTGCTAGCCTCCAAGGACTTAACATCAATGTTTTAGCCCTGAAAAAATATTCAATGTTTTCACGACGATGATATCGGTATCGGTACCGTACATCGATGGTTGACCTATCGATGCTCATCCTTATACCTGACGTCCTTCTTGTCTTTTTTTCTGTAATATAGGTACACAGAGCATTGAATTATTTGTGATGCTGAAATATCTGGTGGTCTCGCAAGTTGCAAAGCCTTTGTGGATTTATGATTAAATTTGTTATCAGTTAATGTACATAATATTCAGTTTTAGGATAAACTTTTTTACTACAGTCAATGGTTTCACTTGTCAAGGAGCAAGCTGGGCTAGTAGTAGAGCTCGGGGCTGGGGTCCCCGGTTCAAAACCGTCTAATCACCCGCTAATGGTTTTTAGCTTTTTCATGAAACACGGTTCTGGGCTGGATCCCAACGTCCTAATTTGTAAATGAAGGATATAAATGAAAAATAGAAAAAGAAATTTAATATAATTAACTAAGTTGTGATTAAGTACTTAGAACTGTTCTTGTCACTAAGTTTTTTAGTGCAGAAAAATGGTTGATTTTATCAGACCTTATTTAATGTACCCTAAATCAATAAAGATTTTACACGTGTTTAGTTCTGCTTATCATTTAATCTTGTTGTTCAACAAGAAGAACAGACAAAAAAATCAACCGTTTTTATGCAACAGTTTGTTTTGTGGGTTCAAGTCAGACATTTGAGTTGGTGAATGTCAGTTCAGTTCCTCAAATCAGCTTTTCTGAATCCTGGCTGTCAAGCCTAATTGAAGGTGTGTAGTGTGTCGAGTGTGTCTAAGGATAGATCAACTATAAAAGAATTTTTACTAGGCCTATCTGTTTCCTACGTTTAATTAATAGGCCTAGTTCAAGTCAAGACTAGCAGAAAAAAACTTGTAAAGACGTTGAATTAAAGCAAAAAATGGAAGTAAGAAAGATAAAATGGTAGAATAAAGAGTAACTTAGCGATGACTGGCGATGAGCCATGTCAGATTATATGGTTGCGCAATTCACCTTGGATTGAATATTCCTCAAACATATCGCAAGTTACATTAACAGGAGAGTACCAAGGCCATCGAGTACATAAGTTATATCGCCAAACCTCATGCATCACTGAACATGTCCAACTGATAAGGAAAAGTTTACTGTCAACCTCACACTATAGGCTTATTGTGTTCCCAACACACAAAATACAAGAACTTCTACGTTTGGGAGAACAACATCCTTTAAATAACCAAGCTATTCACACTATAATTATGATTCATTGACATCATCAAAAATATGGAGACAAAAGCTTTGGATTTTGACCAGAATAAAATAACAATAAGCGTAGAATGAGATGCCTGTTGTAGCTTTGTTACTGACCAAGATCAGCTGTTTCTTAGCCAGACTCATTTATTAAACACCCAATGGTCAAGGACAGCTGGGCCGAGTTTCATGCCGTCAAAAAGTTACAAACAACTCTCAGGATTGAACTGACAACCTACTGATTACCAGGCAAGCACTATATCCACTAAGCTGCTACCGGTAGCTTTAATATGAGCGGTAATTAGAATTTTATTTATTTATTGTTTACAGCCGATTAAATAGGAGCCATCATGGATCTTGAACCTTGACTCAATCTCTGTATCAAACTTAATTGCTGAAAGCGATTTATTTTATCTTAACTACCTAGCCTACCTTAATAAATCATTTTCTCGAATAATAAATTTTGGAAAATGTTCAGTTTATATAAAAAAAAGTGTAGGCTATATCAGCAAAATATAATAATTTAAACAAATTTCCTGCACACTGGGTTTTCACCTCACATCTCTAATTCATAAGTAACTAACTAGCCGCTCGCACCATAAATGTTTTGGTGATATATTTTACAGTTTCCAATTAACTGCTCTAGGCTACCTTAGGCCGGACGCACACAGATCAAGCATTTCACCTGAAGCAAGTGTTGCGAGGCAAAATGTTTCGCTGGGTACGAGCTCCCCATGTATTTCAATGGGACGCCGCACACTGATCAAGCAAACGTTGCGAGGCGCCTCGCAACGCCTTGAAACATTTGAGCAGTTGCTCGACGAATGGATCCCATACAGCACGATGTTTGATGTCTCATGGAGCAAAACGTTCTGCGCATGCGCCAAATCCTTTCTAGCTAGTAAAGCTTAGTGGCTTTCAAAATTCAATTGACCTTTTGTTGTTTAACACAACAACTTCTTTGAAAAATTAATTTTGAAGTTGCGTTAAAACTTAACAATTATATTTTGAATTTCTATTGAACAATATATTGTTGTTTAATTCTTCTTGATACCATTTTGGTAGTCATACAGCCCATGCAAAGTAGTAAAATAATTAAGAAATTACCAAGATTACTCAGTTCATTAATCATTATTTATACAGGGTGGTAAAAAAGTCCCTGGACAGTTAAATATTTTAAAAAATAATGAAGATAGAGCTACAATACTTGGTACAAAGTTACAGGGCATAAAACTCTATTTTAACACATATTCAGTGATCCAATAACTCTTCAGGGGGACTTTTCAATTAAAGGTCTTCACTTGTAGATTACGATGCTGCAAATTCAAGCTCAAAAAAATGCCTGAGTAAAAAATGGCAGTCGTTCAAAGATTCAAAATGGCGGATTCAAGAAATCTTTGAACATCTGCCATTTTGCGCTGGATCAACCTTTTGAAGTGCAGTTTGCGGCATTGTATTCTACTAAAAAAGACCTTTAATTTGATGTGCATATTGACTTATGCTTCCATTTAAGATTTTCTTCCGACTCCTTGTGGGCCGTCCCCCTGAAGAGTTATTGGATCACTGAATATGACGTGTTAAAATAGAGTTTTATGCCCTGTAACTTTGTACCAAGTATTGTAGCTCTATCTTCATTATTTTTTAAAATATTTAACTGTCCAGGGACTTTTTTACCACCCTGTATAACCATCACGACACTATCTAATAATAATTTCTTACGGTATTTTAACCCCTTCCTATAAAATAGTATAGCAATTATTCGACAATGATTGTAAAATTTCCCTGGATCTGATTTAATTTCTCTGAGAGGAAAGCTGTCTATCAACAGATTGATTGGGTGAACCTAATGTTGTCTTTCTATTTAGTCCAGCATTTTGCAAAAACTGACTTACAGCAATAGTTGACTTCCTCGTCACATATGTTAAAACAATACTGTATAGTATAAGACCAGTAAACATAATATGTAATTCTTATATTTATTTTTCTTAATTTTGCTTGAAACCAAATGCTGAATCATGATGCTTGAACCTCCCGCACACTGGAGAAGCAAATAAACAAAACGTTTCAAGCAAATCGTTGTGCAACATTTTGCTTCAGGCGAAATGCTGGATCAGTGTGCGCCCAGCCTTATGTTTCACGGTAGGCCCTACATCACCTAGAGAGTTGTAAGCAAATTAAACATACCTATAATTGTTTCAGTTTTACACGGTAATTAGGTTCGATTAAGGGTACGCTCTACCTCAGCTCGGAAATCTCAGCTCG